TGCGCTTCTATGACAAAGCGGCCGGCTGCGGCTACGGGCTGCCAGCAACGGCTGCCGGCGCGGTGTGAAGGCATCCTTATAGCGATACTAAAGCTTGCTGAAACTTTCCATTGGATAATCTAGCAAAAAGGTCCTGCTGTGAAGCCCATGGCTCTATCCTTCTTTTGAGACCAGCCTCCTTCGCTTTTCTGCTTTTGGGTGCACAAGCATAATTTTCGCGAAGTAGGCGCGGTTAGAATGGATTTCAAGGATTTTTTTATAACTTAGCCTTGAAAACAAGCAATCGTTGGGAAAAATGTTCTGCGGCAGTAGCGACCCTAGGGGTCGCTAGTAAGTGGGTTAGGGCAGATACATTGATAACTATTTGCGTGCAACTCAAAATGACAAGGAAATGGACTTCCATTTTCTCAACGATTCTTGGCGAAACGTAAGTATGAAGTCGTAAGAGTAAGATCATGCTCTCGAGCAAACTTTTTACAATGATAACTCTCAAATCATCTACGGTGTTCTTCTTGCAGAGCTCCTTTACTTTTCTGCTTTTGAGAACACAAGAATTTTTGCTTGAAGTGGATTTTAAAGATTTTTTTATAATTTAGCCTTGAAAACAAGGAATTCTTAACAAAAATCCTGCGGCAGTAGGCTACCCTACGGGTCGCTAGCAAGTGGGTTGGGGCAAATACATTGATAACTGTCTGCGCAACTAAAAATAGCAAGAGAATGAATTCCCATTTTCTCACCGATCTTTTTCGCAATGCAAGTAGTAGTAGAAGCAAGATCAGGCTCATTTCAAAGTTTTATTTCAACATCATTTCCATTTTCTCAACGCTTGGCGCAACGTAATTACGTAGTAGTAGAAGGAAGATTATGCTCTCAAGGAAACTTTTCACAGTGAGTAACTCTTAAATCATCGCTGTTCTTCTGTTCTAACTTCTACCCTACCCAGATACCACAGCTACTAAACATGAAGACCACCTCAGCAGTCATCTATACAGAACAGCTGATTCAACCCGAAACTCAGGCTGACACTCAGGAACTGTGAAACGGCCGCTAACACACCGAGCTTCGCGATCATGCACAGTCCTATACTCTCCTTATTACGTCTCGCCAAGAAACGGTCATTTCTTAAAGCGAGACCAAAGTTCGCTCAAAGCTTTTTCTTGGACAATCCTAGCAAAAATGTCCTGTCGCATAAGCCCTCTGGGTATTCAAGAGTGAATTTCAAGCGAGCTTCTGCATGATTTAGCATTGAAACAAGTCCTCAGCCTAAATGCGCTGCCGAATAAAGTCCTTAAAGCTCTCCTTTCTTCGAGACTTATGCTTTTTAAAGCAGAAGTACGTTTTTCGCAAGATAAAAGCGGCCAAACTGAATTTCAAGCCCTCCTTGTGACATTCAGCACTGAAACCTAGGGAATTATATCAAAAATGTACTAACGCATAAACACTAGGTCTTTCCTTCCATTAAGACAAGCTCCCGTGTGTTTTTATTGGCAAAAATAGGGATTTCACAAAGTAGAGGCCGCCAAAAACAAATGCAGGAAGTTTCTGTGAATTTTCACATTGAAATCTAGTTGGAAGAAATGTGTTTTCGAGTGGATATGTTGGGTCTTTCCTTCCAGCAGACCGAGCTCACTCTGCTCATTTGTTTTCAAAGGCAACAACAATATTTACACAGTGTAAAAGCATCCAAAAGCAATTATTTAACAGATTTTTGTGAGATTCAGCATTTAATCCTAGAAATTTAGCAAAATGTTCCTAGAAATTTAGAAAAATGTACTACCGCATGAATCGACTGATTCTTTTCTTCCAACGAGACGTAGCTCCCCCTGTTTTTTCTATTTCCAGAGGCAAAAGCAGTATTTTCAAAAGTACACTCCCCGTAAAATTGATAGGTTATATTATCTTACCCTAACCTTCATATTGTTCAAAATCATAATGTGCTTTTCGAAAACTAATGATTGTAAGAAGTTAGGCAGGATAGGAAGCAAAGTGGGCGACAGTTTTCCAAAGTATGATAGCAACTGGGGGTCAGACATTTGCGCTAATTCGGTAGTCTGGAATCAATATTTCGTTGTTGCTTGGCCCTGTACATGACACGCACTTGATCCCATCTTTGCTTGTTTATGAATGAGGAAGTGATCTTTGACGACTGTTGCCCATACTTGCATTTTCCATGCGGAGCAAGCTCTATAATTTGCACTTTAAGTGCATACAGTCTGGAAACTAACTAGGAACGCCGTCAACTCTACGTCGCTGTTATGCAAACTATGTGGATCCTCCTAGAGTGCATGCGCTCCCCAGTACTCTCTCGGCGTTTCTCAGCACATCCGTGTTAGTTCATGTATCGCAGTTATATTTCGTCGCCGCATAATCTGGACTGCCCTCGTTGTCGCGAATCTGCTGTTAACACTGTAAGAGAACACATAGCACAACGGTAAAGCATATGGGGGAGGAGAGTACCCTCGTCGCATCGCTTTGGCAGTTACCAAAAGATATTATAGTAAGATATTATCGTGCGGTGTGTTTGTATGTGTGTATGTGTGCAAGTGTGTGTTGTATGTGTGCATGTGTGTATGTGTGTGTATGTGTGTAGTGAGTATGAGTGTATGTATGTATGTGTGTATGTGTGTATGTGTGTATATGTATATGCGTGTATGTGTGTGTGTGTGTGTATGTAAGTATGAGTGTATGTGTGTATGTGTGTATGTGTGTATGTGAGTATGAGTGTATGTGCGTATGTATGTATGTGTGTATGTGTGTATGTGTGTATGTGTGTATGTGTGAAATGTGAAATCAGCATGCTTAAAAACTTTGCTACACAAACTTTCAGAGTTTTCTGGAAAAATTTTATTGAACGTTTTATTTCACAATGTCGCTGTGTGCTAAAAGTTCATGCCGTAGCTAAAAGAGATAGGAGTTTGCGCTTGGTACTGTAAATCTAAGTTGAATCTTGCTCTAAAGAATGGTGCCTAAAGGTCGGTGAAAGACATCGAAGCAAGTTATTAACGATTAAACAGTGTGCATTTTTTGGACACTCTGTATAAAGTCGCATTTTTTTGGTATTACAAATCTGTTAAACATAAAACAGCTCGTTTATCTCAAATATCTCAAAGCAGTGGAAATATAAGCTAATAGAATTGATGTTGATATGGTGCCGGCATTTTAGCCTTTGTTTGCGCCAAATGCCGGCATTACATGTAACTATATGATTATGCGCAAATTTTGCCGCACAATCTTTGCATGGCAACGACACTATCTTGGGGACGACTCTACTAGACTATAGCGCACTGTGAAAGTCCCAACTTGGATTTGTTTAGAGCAATTCATTGCTTGCTTTTCGCACTGCAAGACCTCTAGTAAATTCCAAAGTCGTCAAGACGAAAATTAGGCTCTGTCGTGACCTCAAACAAGCCACAAGCGGGGGACGAGTACACATTGGTCGCAGCAGAAATAGCGCTCTCGCCCTCCGCCAAACCGTAATAGAAAACATGGGCAGTAAGCTCTGTCACTGAATTACATTGGCGACGCTTGTATACGGCGCACAAGGGAGCAGGGCAGTTGCTAAGGCAGTATAGAACAGCAATATATTCCTATCTTGCCGCGAGCTTCTTCTGTGAGTATATAACAGTTTACAGTTGAGCTAAAATTACTTGCAAGACGTCACATAGAGCATAATTACGGTTAGTTGATTATCTACCGCAAGTAGGACAGCGCCACCGTCGCACGCTTTGAGGAAGACGTACGTGGTACAGATAGACAGGGGAATACTATTTTGCAAAGCGGTGGGAGAGAACACGCGCTCATCAACTTCCTGATTTGTCAGGTATAAAGGACTGGAGGGGTATAGCTTGTAATACATATATCAGAAACGTACCAAATATCAACGGAGTGTTCTAGAACGAATACTAATTTAGAATCGCAAATATATGCAGCTGTATTAGCTGCAGCACCCCTTCAGAGTAGCCAACCGCAGCTGGTATCAGCAAATCTAGATTGAGCTTCCGAGATGGTTCTAAGTATGTGTGTCGTTTTTCGATAGACCAGACCAAGTTTTTCTTTTTGTGTGAGCATCGGTTAAGTGTTCACTGCGTCGTATTCATTGCAGCGCTGTTCTCAATTATGCTTCCAATTGGCCGACTTTATACGAATAACTATAATTTTTTGACAATGACCATGTCTGAAAACAGGCTTCGCTGAAAAAGTTCCCAGAACTCAAGTTGGAGAATTTGCTGGAGTGGTAGTAATATGGTCGAAACCATCATGTTAACTGTGTTTTCATGACACCAGCTAACCAGCAGCTTCACATCATTTTCTCAACGAAACCTCGAATTAACCAGTAGGAAAGCTTGAAATGCTATCTTGCAAAGCAAAGTCATTGGAGGAGATCGAAACTCCAATCATTCTCATGCTTGTCGGCAATCATTGCACTTTACCAAATTTGCAGTTCGGTCTCCAGCCTTACAGCTTCCTATAACCTTATCTAAGCTGTAAACAAGTAAGCTTTCTCATAGTAAGTTGCAGAATGATCTCCCTCACTCTTCTTAACTTGCAAAACCAACACATCATTGTTTCAAACGAAAAAGTGGTCGGGGGTACTTTTTCATTTTAAACTATGATATGATGGTTTCACGTCTGCGTCTCATGAAATGAAGTGCTGTTTTCATTACTTTATCTGATAAGGGAACAATGGTGTTAATCTGCTGTTTAACTCATAGTTTGGTTTAGAATGAAACAAGCATGAAACAGTTACGGTTTTCTGCTAGTTACTTGCTTGTTTCAGATTTTGTATGACCGATTGAACTGAGTGGCCGTGAAAAGATGATCATGCTTACCACGATGTAACCATGATTGAACTATCACATCATTTGTTGGTTTCGACCAAATTACTACCACTCCAGATACTTTCGATCAAGATTAAGTTTTCACAGCACTTCTCATCGCTCTTTGAGTGCTCCTATATTTGAGATAATGTAAGTTCTTTGACCAACTTTATCATGGTTTCAGTGATGATGAGGTGGGCGGGGAGGTTGTTGCTAATATTTATTTTATCAATTACTGGTATTTTGTACATTATGATTAAACGGGTTCAAGATGATTTAACGCATATCCCCGGACAGCTCGTGAAGAGACCATGGAGAAATCCTCATAAGGTGAGTATCTCTGAAGTCTTTGTAACTATTATTCTAGCTCTGTAGCTGAATGCTTTTTTCTCTAGCATGTCATAATATTTGCTGCCACTAAATTTTTTGGAATGGACATCACAACTGAACGATTTCTATCTAAATGCTATTCCACAAAAGTGAGTGCATTTGCTTTTGTATATGCTAGAACGGTGAAAGTATTTACTTTTTCGCAGTACCACTACAAATAGAGTCCTTTTTCACATTGTTCATCAATGTAGATGCTTTATATTTAGGGTTTCTGTCGAATATCAGAAAACCAAACCGATCTTGATAAAGCGGATGCGATTTTGTTTCACAATGCAGACTACACTTCTATGGCAGTGCCTCAACCACGCCGTCTTTCTCGACCTCATATTCTGTGGAGTCTTGAAAGTCCAACTAATGACGGCTTCCGGCCAGGCCCCCGTTAGTGCTTCCATTGATTAATTCTGTTATAATAGGGTTATATGACATTATGACAGTAGTTAATGTTATTACGAATTAGTACCAGCTGTGAACACAATTGTGATCTCATTATGTTCATGGCGATTTAATCATCAGAAAAAACTGAGCGAAAGCAAATGATAAGAACACCAGATATGTTATTTTAGCGACAAGCGAGTTTTGGGTGACACCATTGGATAACATTTAGCATTTCACTTGATTCTCATATTGAAGGGGGAAATTTCTATCGAATTTAGTGCGGCTTTTTTGAAGCCTTGGAATATATACAGGGTGCGCCAAAATTACCGGCGCGTGTTTCCTTGTGCCAGAAGGCTACTAGACGGACTTGAAGACGGATCGAGTATGCATTTGTTCTCACTAACCATCGTTATGGTAATGCAATAGTCAAACCAGACGGCTATTTTATCTCTCGAAAAGATCCCAGTTCCTCTCGCCGACCGAAGCGTGCTCTGTACGCAAGCATGACTTTGACAATATACGTAACATCTTTTTAAAATTTTTTCTTGCTTTGTAATTTCGCACGAAAATAGAGTAAGCCTTCATCTCTAATACAGCTAAGTATGGAAATTTAAAAATCAGTCCAAAGAGAATCTTCGATTATTCAAAAACATGGTTGAGAGACGGCATACCGAAAGTTGGACTAATTTTGGAATTCTTGAGTGTGCCTTAGGATCATAAAATGTCTTCTAAATCAGATATAAGACTACCTCAGCTAGTTGCTTCTATCTAGATGCTCTTCTAGATATCTCGCATATAGGGAGCTGTTTTTACTTGAAAGGTTTTGCATATCTGGGGCCTAATAATCGATTTTGAACACAAGGTCATTGCTCGTATTTTTCGCAAATATATTTTCTTATTTCGTGAAGGAACAAATTCTGTAAATGCAATAAGACCAGTGTGATAGTGCAAAACGTGCTCTACAACCTTAGCTTGGAGAAGCCCTTGGAGAGGGCTTTGAGTTTATTCAGTTATAGAGCAAATTATGAAGGTTTAAAAATTTCATTTTCGCCTTTCTTGGACGTACTGGTCTGATTCTTTTAATTTTCAAATTCTTGAAAAGTCTTTTTGAGTTCAATAAAATGTACTCTGTGGAAAATGATTAGCGCCTTCTATGACACTTCTATTCGCAAATTTGAGCGGTATTTTTCCATGGTTCTTTTGTGGCAGTGGTTGTAATGTTGGCGCCGGTAATTTTGGCGCATCCTGTATAGTAGTTGCAAATTTGCCTAGGCTTCTAAGCTCAGAGTGAATTATATTAGGCTGTTACATAAGTCTTGTTACACTTTAATTCCTTACGACGATAAGTGGTGAACTTGAATTTTAACAGGGCTTAGGATACCATTCGATAGAGCAAAGGAAGCTCTACAAGACATATGCAAAATTCGCATCAACTTCGACCCACTGCGTTTGAGTCTAAAATCTGAGTTGTATTAGAGGCTCAAAAAATCGCGAAAAATTCTTAGCTTTGTTCAAAAAAATCCTATGAATCTTCAACTTGCTCATAAAAATTGCACACTACATCAGACACTCATATGTACCGTTGCTGTATTTTTTCCTCATCTAGAAATTGAGAAAACAAAAATTTTCTTTTTTTACAATAGCGGAGCTATCCTGTTTCTATACAAGTAGTTGTATACCACAAGCCCTTAGAAGTACACCCGTAAGTTTTCAGCTTTCCACAAGCCCTAATTTTCGAAGAATACCGAATTCAGCTTTTTTCACTCGGGTGCTCAATGCTAAATTAGGTAATTTTTGAAAACTAGGGGTTCTGAAAAGCTGAAAATTTACGATTATACTTCTAAGGGCTTGTACTATACAACTGCACTAGTAGAAACGGCATAGCTACGTTTTTATAAAAACAAGAAAAATTTCGTTTTCTCGATTTCTAGATGAAGAAAAAATACAGCAACGGTACACATGAATGTCTAATATATTAGGTTGGCTAAAAAATAAATTCGGTCGTTTTTAGCGGTTTGTAGAATTGCGACAAATCAGTTTTTGTGTGTGTATATGGTACCATTGGAAAGAGCAAATCAAGGAGAATCGGATGTTTTACTCTGTTTTCTCAAAAATAATTTCTCTGATGATGAAATGGTGAAGGAAAAAAATTGGTCAGATTTTTTCCGCAGAATTTCGAAAAATCACGTTCCAAAAAACGAACTGAAGTCAGGTCTAAAGTGTAGATTCGCTAACCACACAACAAATTTTTGAATTTCCAACCATTTGCATGGTCATAGATGGCCAAATTTGAGTTATCTGAAATGACCAAAATTTGACCATCACGTGCAAATGCCTGGAAATTTTCTCAGTTTTGATTGCAGAAATTCAGAAACAGCAGGTCACAATCTCTATTGTGGTTCGCCACCTAGCCAGAGGCTGCATGTATCCAGCCACCAAATTATTCCCTGTGTACTCACTGTAGGCTGAGTACGAAAACTAAAAAGTCAAAATAGCGATTTTTTAGAAGTCTGACCATATAAGGTTATGACTGTCATTTTTTGGTAACAGAAAATCTCCACTATTTGATATATAAGAGTAGAGGCTTGGGGCTACCATCTCACGAAAAAATCTTAGCTGAATAGCTGTTACGTGAATTGTTATGAAGCTTTGAATTTGCATGTCAAAACGAACTTATTTATTAGCCAACCTAATAGTATGCAATTTTTACGAGCAAGTTGGAAATTCGTAGGATTCTTTTAAACAAAGATATGAATTTTTCGCGATTTTTTGAGCCTTTAGTGCGACTCAGATTTTGGATACAAACATGCAGTGGGTCGAAGTTGGCGCAAACTTTTGCATACTATCTTACAGAGCTTGCTTTGCTCTGTTAAATGGTACCCTGGAGCCTTGTAAAGGTTATGGGGTCCATGACTTATCGCAATAAGAAATTAAAGTGTAACAAGACTTATGTAACAACCTAATATCATCTGCATACCGCCATTCATTACTTTCTAAGCATTTCAAAATATCCCCAGCTTTCCAAAGATTTATCAATTTGGCAGCAGGTGATTTGTTCCTTGAAAATTATGTAAAATGCAATTTCCTTGGGAAATTCAGTTTAAACTTTTCTTGTCAAAAAACTAACTTTTCAGCAAGTGAACACTGGCTGTGATATACAGGGTGCCCTAAATGCGTCGAAAATTTGATCTTCAAAGCTCGTGATGAAGAGCACTCGCCGCAATCTGACATCAATACCATAGAGCTGGCTTCAATTTAGATTTGCACTCGAAACCTTTACGACTTCTCATCGCTATTGCAAGATTACGGTGGGAACTTCAAAGAGGATCGCTTATTTAGAATTTGGAGTTGGCACTTCACCTTAATGCTTTATTCATAAGTCTAAGTATACAGTCGATTATCTTCTCAAGCCTCAAAATCCATTATACAGTTTAGAAGCCTCAATATATATACAGGGTATCCCAAAAGTATGTATCGAACGTTTGATCGTTAATAACTCTCTTCCCAAGAAGTCTTTTGCCTTGCTTCAGGTACCGTTTTGTAGAGCTGGCTTCAACTTAGATTTGCAGTATAGAACGAATCACTCATTTCTCTTCATTACTGTAGGATCACGGTAGAAACTTCAAGGAGGGTTTTAAGCAATGAAAGGCCATATTTTGCCCCAGAAAGGAAACAAAACAGCCTTAAAACTTTTACACTAGGCTAATTAGAGTTGCTGATTATAACTGTAAAGTTCCCAACTTATTATGATGCTTCATTGAAGAGTTATGCCAGGTAAGAAGTAGCGGCCATTTTTTCAATGTTCCTAAAAAGTGGGATTGCACCGTTTAGAAAGCTTCGTAATCTTGTGAATAGTTAATTATTGAACTCAGCGTCCATAAAAACCCTATTACACAAGTTTTCACGATTTTTTGAAAAATTTTGAAACGGCAGCTTTTTTCACATTAACACCATATGTTTCAAGTTTCTACCGTAATCCTACAGTAATGAAGAGAGATGAATGATTCGTTCTATAGTGCAAATCTAAGTTGAAGCCTGCTCTACAAAATGGTACCTGAAGCAAGGCAAAAGACTTCTTGGGAAGAGAGATATTAACGATCAAACGTTCGATACATACTTTTGGGACACCCTGTATATATATATATATATATATATATATATATATATATATATATATATATATATATATATATATATATATATATATATATATATATATATATATATATATATATATATATATATATATATATATATATATATAAGCTATGTAGTACATTTATCATGCGCGAAAATCCTAATTTCACATCTCTAAGATTTTTTATGAGTTTTTTGGAACGGCGGCTGAATTATAATGGCGCTAATAAATCTGGAACTCTGCAGAAAAAAATGAAAACATGTCTCTTACAGTCTGCATGCTCTTTCTGACAGTAAATTCGCACTGATCGAGCTATTCTATGAGAGGTTATGATATTCTTGAAAAACGGAAAGACCGCAAAAAGTCATTTTAGGGTTTTTGCATTTTTCACGAAATTCATAACTTCTTGTGGAAAAGCTCGACCACTGCAAATTGTCACTGTTAGAAAGACCAGTTCGCGTAGACCGTAAGAGACGATTTTCAAATTTTTTGCAGCGCCTCAGATTTTCAAAGAATTATTTTCCAGAATCCAGAATTAGAGTGGGTCTCTATTCGAATTATCTTTGGAGTATCTTCTAGTCAAAGGGCCACAAAGTTGTTATTAGAGAATAGACGATTTTTTCTTTGGGGAATGCTTCTTGTGAGCAAATACCTTGATACAGGGAGCAGTCACGATTTTTTTTGTCAAAGCGACTGAACTTCCGATTCAACATATTATATGTTTATACTGGTCAACTTTATTCAAATCTTTTCGACCGTCTGGATATAAATAAAGCTAAACTTTTTGGTCATACCACCGCCCTAAGATGGCCCTGGACATTTGAACGTCTGTGATAACAAAGTGTTGTTCGGTCGTAATCAAACTGTGTTCGGTAATATAAGAACATTAACATCTTTTTATTCATACGTATCTCAGAATGTGATATTTTTTTGGCATTTATTGCAGATGTTATCAACTGGACGATGACATTCCGTCAAGATGCCGATATTTGGTATCCCTACGGACATTTCCGTAAACTGGATATGAATAGTGAGTAACTGGATTCCCAACGATGGGATGTGTGAAAACACAGATGCAAAGCAGCTTACTAAGAGTCGGTGGATTTTGATGGTATCTGGAATATGAAAGACAAGAGCAAAACTGCAACTTGGCTTGCTTCAAACTGTTTCACTTCAAATTTTCGGAGCGATCTGATCGATGCGATGCAGAAAGCTGGACTTAAGGTAACTATTTTCACTTTTCAAGAAATTAAGAAAGTTTTCGCTTATTTTCTTTAATCTTTAATCTTCACTTTTCAAGAAATTAAGAAAGTTTTCGCTTATTTTCTTTAATCTAAATTGTAACTCATTTGAAGGCTGCACTTTCAAAAACATGTTCGGCGATCTAAATCGCGTAATTGTTAAATCGTTCTAACATTGGTTGACATTTACTTGATGAAAGTTTTATCATGTAACATAATGTGATATTTAATTTATCGCCTTGATGGAAGAAGCTTATATTCAACTATAACTTTACAAAACTATTGAGTTTCTTCCTTCTTAATTCGGATTAGACTAGAGCTGGCACGATGCACTTTTGCATAACCGAGTCCTGCGTTACGGACCCGTCTGCTCTCTACTCTCTACTTATTCATGTGAGCCTGTTTGCGATGAGACAAACTGTGTTAGAGGAAAATGGGCATAAGTTCACACTGAACGGAAAAAACTCCATTTCTTTTCCGATCGATCGTTATGGAAAATGTGGTATGCCTGCACCAGGATGTGAAGGAGTAGACAAGCAAAGCGACAGTTGCGTTGCCCAACTTGTAAGGTAGATCTGTCCATTACTTATCAAACTTTTTTGTTTCCTTTACCTATTTAGAACTCATTTTAGGCCGTACAAGTTCTATATATCTATTGAAAATTCTAACTGTGTCGACTACGTTACAGAAAAATTCTTCGAAGCACTGATTAGTCGTATGGCCGTTCCCATCGTACTAAAAAGGGAGATATACAAAAATATTGGGGTATAATCCAGTAAGACATTCTTTACGAAAAAAAACGATATTTTCATTTTCTTACAGGCTCCTGCAGATTCATTCATAGCCTTAGACGACTTTAGAAACATTGGAGACATGGTTGAATACGTTAACGAGGTTGCAGAGGATAAGCAGAGCTACCTCAAATATCATCAGTGGAGGAGCAGTTATGAGTAGGATAAATGACAAGCTAACTAAATTATACTCCTTCTTTTACCTTTTCCTTCAGAGTCATACCAGAACATAACGATGAAACTGGATTTTGTGAGCTGTGCCGGCGGCTTCAATATGACAAGCTATTTTCCAAATCTTATGAGGACGTTAGAAAATGGCACGCTGATGAACAATGCGATAACGACTATGGAAAAATATTTCTGCCCTCTATTGAATTAGCCGTTCGAAATGAGCAAGCTTAAAGAATTTGGAATGTAGACACGATCAATATCATGTAAATAGAAGCTGCAAACATGTTATTTATATTTATCACAAGCCTCTGCTTCATACCTCGGGTAATTTGTTCTGTGGCACATTTTCTTTTTGTATAAGTTATCCATTTCGAAAAATATTTAGACCATATGAATTTTGTTTGTTTGTTAAACATGACAGTTCGCTTTAGAGTTTAATTTGCAGAAATGAAGGGCTCAATCACTGTGCACTTTATTTATTGGTCATTAACTTGTATAATAGAATGTCTTTCCCGCAATCACATGAGCGTCATATTACCTTCCACCAGTTTCCGTGATTTAGTACCTAGCATGAGCACACTATAGTTTGAACATCTAACACCCACACTTTCAGCACAAAACTTTGAGAAGTTAAAAACGTTTTTTACAAATTTGAAAATGCTCTTCATGTTTTCGTACTGTTTACCCGTGAATTCCCAGTAGGTGAAGGAAGGAAAGAATTTGGGAAGTTTCAGCAGTTTCCAAAATAAAATTATCTAACAATACTATTGGCAGACCTTTTCGAAACCATGCTAAAAAAAATACTGTCTGGTTGCTTGATATACTATGACGCAAAAAAAGCAAAACATCAGATTGTTTCATAAGTTTCGTTCGTTTTGACTTTCAATCGCATTAAGTCATATATTAGGTTGGTGCAAAAGTTCTATCTCACTATTTTTGAAATAGCGTCCCAAATTTGGATTTTTATCAGCCCAAACCCCAAACTCGAACCTGAAATGATTTTATTCTCCTGCTTCTATCTCAAAAGCTACCTTTTTTAGATAGCAGCAAAGGCATCATTAAGGAGATTAGCTCCCCAATCTAGCTAAATCAAAATTGTTCAGATTCGTCATGTGAGCAGGAAGTCATGATTTTTCAGAAATAGTGCGACAGAACTTTTGCAGCAATTTAATACTTTTCTGTTCTAGATACATAGTAATCAGAGAAGCACTCGATAAAGCAAAGCAAGCTGTACAAAATGGCTTTCTTGCTTTTGCACCAGCTAATCTACCTCGAGTTTGAAGCAAACTAAAAATATCAACAGCCCGAAAAATCAAGAAAAAATGGAACGTCCAAGAAAGTCCTACGAAAATCCTGACCCTTATTGACTCTCGTAGTTCTCCCAGTAATTGAAGAAGCTCGAAGTTTTACGAACAAAGCCCATATAGGTGTGGGAGGATGGAAGAAAAAGTATGGAAGTATTAAAATGTCTACGCCCTTGCTAAAGTTTATAATTTTCTTGCTCTATAGATAGGCTTCAAATACCAGTTGATAAACGGAAGCATGCTTTTAGAAGTGTGCAAATATATGTAAACCAAAATCTAAGAGATCGAGTATTCAAAATTAGATTCATCCAAAAAAAATCTCACGTAGTTCTGACTTATATACACCCTCATAACAAACATTAGGCAAATGCTATATTTTTTCCGTTGCTATTCGTTTATTATTTTCCAGCCATGAAAATGCTTACTGCAGATAAATGTCGGATATTTCGCCTAACCTAGGAGCGCGACATCTTCACATGTGGGTCCTCTTTTAGAAGGCAATAGAGATTGGTACTTATAGAAGATACATTTTGTCCGACAATCACCTGAAGCCTTGGTTCGCCTTTCCCGAAAACATCCAGTCAGTTCAACTGAACTAGGATGATGCAACTTCGAGCTTGAAAAGTTTATACGAATTTTTAAATAGCTATTACACTAAATATGATTTGAAAATTTAATGAATGTCTAGTTGATGATACGACAAGTAAACTGCATTAACTTCCACATATTGCCAGTAAGACTAGAACTGAGTATAATTTTCATATGAAATCGGGCCCTTTTAGCACAGGACTAGTGCTTTCTTGGACGATGTACTCTTTACAATTTTCAAAATCCAGCTCCACTTAGCGTATTCAAAACCATTTTCTCCCAGCAGCTTCGACTTGACCTTATATTTTCCTCGACGGAGCAAACCTTAAAATGGCACATACTATACAATATTGTACAGAGCTAATGCTCTGCAGTTTGCACTTTTCAATGATTATTTCGACATCGAGTTTTGAAGCAAGTTAAAAACGGGAACGGATACGATGTGGAGAAGAAGCAACAGTTGTGAGTATGGCATATAAAAATAAATATAAACTAGTCATCACCCTTTATCATTAGCAAGTCATCTTATACACCTCTCGCTATACATAATCTCTGTACACATAAAGCAGAAAGTCCGCGTGCAACTAATGTAGGATGGACCACTCAACTGAAACTTTACGCACATGTGTTTTCGGCTTGGGTAAGTTTTGGGCTACATTGCGGCGTTACATTACATTTGTCCGTTTTATAAATTATGGATGCAACGAAAACTGATCTTACCATTTGCATTCGCTATATCACCCCACTTCCACAATTACGGGCAAAAACGTCAATAGACTCACTTTTGATTTGCGATTAGGGGTTTGGTATGGAGATTCTTCGACGGGGATGGTGGAATAGATTAGCAGAGAGTGAAGAGAGGAAAGAAGGACAAATTCTCGTTTGCTGAATAACGTAGTTACTCACAACTAAAACGTGACTCGGCTAGGATCAGAGGTGCCAACCCGATTTACTAGATTGGCAATAATCGGTACTACGCTTTTCTTTCTTAATTTTGAAAAATTCCATATGCTTTCTGTCAATTCGATTTGTTTCGTACCTAGGATATACTTAGCAGCATGATCGGTGTCGCAAATGAACTAAGCCAAGTTCGACGTTTCATAGTCACCATATAAACAAAAGTTTTTGGCTTTTTCTCTACGTCTTCTTGCGCTTTTTCTCTCCTATGCTTTTTTGAAAAGCATATAATATCTTTCCTGTGACTGGCACTGTGATGCTATACGTTTATACGTTTTTATACGACCTATACGTTTCAAAAGCGGGAGGAGTGGAGTCATCAAATTTTAAAGATTCTTTCATGTGCGTCTCGCAAAAAAAATGATGCAAGAGAAGGATAGCCTGGATAGGCATTTTAGGGTTCCTTCATACTATGCCGCAGGACGCGGCGTGCTGCGGCGTGCGTCGCGGCAGTTTCAGTGAAAATATAAGCTCGCTCGCTGTAAAGGAACACTTTCGGGGAACACGAAAGCAAACAGCAAACAGCAGAAAACATAGATATACATCCATGACCGGCAATCTGCTGCCGTGAGCGTATTTTTTCATTGCGACTGCAGCGGCGCACGCCGCAAGACGTGACGTGCTGCTGCGGCTGCCGCATACTACGCCGCAGCACGCCGCTCCTGCGGCGTAGTATGAAGGACCCCCCAGCGGAATAAAGGTGTGCAGACAAGAATGCGCCATTTCTCCCCCTCCTCCCTCCTTCACATATTCACCAAACATTGTGGGCGATGCACTGTCTGATTATCATCGTCCTGTTATTCGCTCAGAAAAAGTAATGAAGAATGCCACTTCGTTGCCTTCCCATCATGAATGAGAAATTTGCCTAGTCCTTTGCCTTGAAATTTTTTTTAGCAAAACCCAACAGGTATTAAGTTGGAAACTAAGTTTTGCAACTCACTCACTACTCTTGCTCTCATTTAATATGAAGCACTCAGATTTTGCCAGTATGTTGATTATAAGGTAAGCTACAAGCATAGCTGCTGTTCCGTCAAATTCTGACGTCGCAGTGAGGATTACGGTGGGTATATGGTATGAAGGAGAAAATTGCAAATTATTACGGATTTGGCGGAAACTTGGCTTAGGGGGTTTCCCGACAGCAGTTTACGAATAACATGCTGATTTTGCATGGTAAGGGCTTTTTTGTAAGACTACCGTAGTTTAACGGGATGGGGCACCTTAAACAATAGAAAAACTTTAATTTAATAAACGAAAATGATGCTCGTGTTTAGCAGGTCGAATAACTTCACTATGTGAAGACCCCGCGGGTTTTGATGTTTTCACTCCTTAGTTATTGATGGTTGTCCCCACCAGCCTTGTGTACTTCAGTTTGTGAGGGCGCTAGAACTCGACTTTCTTTCAAATCTATTCCTTTCCTACTGAGCCAAATGAGTCAACTTCAAACATAATTCACGTACAGTTTCGGATCATTATGCATGAAGTGTTTCGCAAACGGCTTCATTTTTGCTTAGAATTTCGTAAATCCTCGAAAATTACAATCTTTGGAAAAATGCTTATAATTTTTTTTGATCGTTTTCAAAAATTGAGCAGTTTGTGCACGGTTGTAGCACACATTGACACCTACATATGACCAAATTTGAGTGCAACATGTTCAAAGAGAGTTAAATTATGAAAGCAGTTGCAAAACTTAGTTTCCAACCTAATATTTTCAGAGCTTTGTTTAAACGGCATTTTTACCCCTTACCCGAGCCCCAATTTCGTATCATTTGAGTTTCAATATTATACAATAATACTTCCAGCTCACTGCTGTTATACTGTAAGCGGACTTAGAAGGTAACTATGAATTTGCCTTGAGGAGCAGTTTCAAATGGGAGTGCAATACTTTGCACATCATTTTTTGGGGCCAGCGGTCCTAACGAAAATTCTTTGTTTAGCCATCTCATGCGAAGCTTCTTGAAGTGGTGCACATATCTAGAAGTACGATTGATAAATCAAAAGTTATTTAAACAAGAGGCTTCAAATTGTTATGCCGATTACCTGAGTTCTTTCAAATTTTTATTAACTACCAAGTCTATGCGTAAGCTATACTGCTGCTTTTCTTCCACACAAAACATGAAGTTTGGTAAATCACCTGTTGATTTTTTCGAATAGCGAAATGACGAGCAACATAAAGCCCATGAAGGTTTTACCTGCCTCATTAAACTTGATCGTTAACAGATTCCCGTCTTCCAGAAGAAGACTGAATGAATCAACGATAATTGAAGTTTTGTTGCTGTTATAGGTTGTACGTTGTGGGATTCGAGTGGCAGGTGACTGCTGGTCTCCGCCGGAAGACTCTTCGCACTTCTTATTGTGGAACTGCAAGTACTTGTATATTCAAATGAGCAAAAAACTTGCAGAAAAGAGCTGAAGCCTAACTATGAGCAGCCTTTCCTTCAGCTTCTCATTCTGTTCTGAGTAAGCTCGTAGCATTCTCTGTTTCTCCAGGAACACATTTTCAAGAGCCTGTACCGCCAAGTGTACCTACAAAGAAAACGAAATAGTGTCAAAGCCACTTTATTTGCCGCAACTAATTCCTAAGACCGTCTAATCAATGTGCACGTGTTCGTAGTCTCTTTTTGCACTCTTCCTACCAAAGCAGATACACTACACTTAACTCGGCAAAAATTGGCACAAATGGAGTTACGCAGAGATTGTGATCGAGATCAGCAGCCAGCAACGCATTACCGAGAAATGGATAGTTGGTCTAGGTGGCAAAATGAAAAGTGGACACACTTGGCTTTAATAGTAAGATATAATTTTTTTGATGTCGTCTGTCCATTGTCTGCAAAGCGCTCCCGTATTCAGACTTTGAAGCATTTTAATTTCACTTAATGTTCTCTTAATGGCAAGAAGCAGCCTCACATAATGCTTTTGTAATGGCTAGTGTCTTCTAATCGCACTAGTCTTCGTATTCAATAGCGATTTTGTGTCTAAATTCACCTCAAGCTCATAAACCGTATCATGGCTGACATCATAAAATGATTGGTACAAGTATGCTGTGTTGTCACGGGAAGCCTTCCATGGGCGCATTTGCAACGAACACGCAATACTCGCTTTGACATCCAAACTCTTAGTAGATCATATTCCATGCTCGACCATCCTTGAATCGGAGCATCTTTCCATCACAAGGGTTAGCATGTAGTGGTCTGATATAAGCGACAGATTGGTGGACAGCGGCTTGCATTGTATTGTTGAAGTCTTAACAAAGGCGACACGCGCCGCAACGTCGATCTTTATTATTACTGGCTTGACTTACTAATGAACAAAAACAACCTTGGAAACGCCTGGTGAGAACCACCATTTTAATGGGTCATTTGATTGAATATTTTTCTTTTATTTATCGGTGTACGTTGGGCGGTGCATTTGTAGATATTTGAACACTTTGGTAAGCTTGTCAAACTTTAAAAGGTTAACAAGTTCATCAACGTGTTCAGATTTCTGCAAATGCTCCTCCCAACGTACACCGGGGAGGCGACGATATTGTATTTGAGGACAATGCAATCCTAGAAATGGCCAATGGAGGCTTAAGGTTTTGCCGGATGCTTCAGCTGCGTTGGAGTTTTTTCAATATGATCATCAGCATAAGCCCTTGAATCGCTGGGAAGAGTTTTGATAGTTCAAATACTGCTGGACCTAAGGTTGTGTAGGGCTTGTAAATAAATGAAATCTTTATAGACGTCGTGTATAAGGGTAAATAGTAATTTTCAGTATCTTCATGGACCGTGGTTGGTTATAGAACGTCACCAATAATTCTGAGCAAGATTCCTATCGAGCATTTCGTTGGGAGGCAATCCAAGCCCGCACTGCGTAAGCTCCGCAATGAAATTTGTGGGGGCATTACTTATGGCCGTATTCAACGAACCCAGGATGTTTGGAAGTCCAGTAGTATCGATTTGTCGATACCCGCAAAAAGCTCTGCTGGAGCTCAACCCACCACCTTCTTGAATGAAGGTCTCGTGGGTCAAGCCTACTCCGAAACCCCCTGGGATTGTTGATTAATATGGCCACTAAACTACACTGTAAAGCTGGACTTATAATTAATAAGACTGCCTTGAGGTAGATTGTTGCTTAGGGCATCGTTGTTGATAATCATATTCGTAAAGAAACAACATTCAACGCCAAGTATTTTTCTGAAGTAGCGACCAACCTTGTCAATCTCTTCTTTCGCCATCTTCAAAACAACGTTCTTTTTGTCCCCAGTCAGTGCTTTCAGCCAGATGGCATCGTCGACAAATGTTTCCATGATAGTATTGAGAATATCTAGCTCATTATTTAAGTCCTGTAAAAAAATCACAGTGTCTACTAACAGTGAAGGTTTACACCAGATCATACATCACCACAGTGTGATATGCATTCCTCTGCGCTCTCTTCAGCAAATGCAGAAACTGTAATCTCTTCTTGAAATTTTGCATTTTCCCATTTTAGTTGCCTAATTTTCTGCTGCTGCTCTTCAAATTTACACAAGATGTCCGAGAGTTTGGTCCTTAGCTAAATATCTATATTAATTATGATCAAGAAACATTGCTCGGGTTTCAGTAATGCCTACTTGCGCAATGGTCTTCCTTGGAGAAAATTGCTGGCAATGTGAGCAGTCCTCACTCTGGAAAGATTCCTAGTTAAAAACGCGATGAAACATATAACGTGCAACAAAGAGTAGTAAGTCTTCAACCCGTTGGAAAATGCTGGCATTTAGAGCGCAGACTATTTGCAAATCTTGTCGGCCAACCTGAGCACCGCAAAGTTTCAAGATATCTCCCGTTAGATTTGCACCCCCATAGCGACGATGTTGACCCTTCCTAGTTGGAAGGATGAGCAGCAAAGATGCTGGCAAAACGACAATCCCAAAACAATAGCAACTCTTGGACGTTGTGTTGACGCTTGAGCTTCTAATGCGCGTGTAAGTCTAAAAAATGCTTCCGCGTTCAAAAAAAAACATGTGATGATTCTCATGCAATTTTGATGAAGCAGCGTGAGTGTGACATTCAGTATTACAGCATCTACATCAAAAAATATATTGCCCATCTCTGCAGGACCCGAGAGAGAATCTGCGGGGGAGTTCCCAGATAACATAGGGTTGGACCGAACTGCGCTTCTTACGCGGCTTACGCGACGTAGGCAGCGCACTCTCCATATCTTTATGCGCCTCTGCGTACACTGCTACGTCGCTTACGCCGCATAAGCCGCGAAGTCTGGTTCAACCCATAGATGACAGAAATTGATAACAGTAGACTGAGTTTGTGGACTACCTCGGTAATGGTTTGCTCTTGCGTGTCGTCCATATAAGATGTATCTTGAGTAATATCTATCGAAGACATAGTCTTCGAGATTGTGAGTAGACCTAACAATTCGAGTTTACGAGAAAGAATGAAACAAACCTCACCTGTAGCGATGAAGCTTCGAGACGATAAGCAGGCATACGATTAGCTGATTGTAGGACAACTAGCACGTAATGCTTTCCACACAAGGTACCGCCGCGCGAGAGATATCTTGCGGCGGCTTTTGCCTAAGCAAAGCAGGGGAGGTGAGGCATGCATGACGCGTTGAGACAAGTCAAAATCAGGGTGGCGCTATAGAGCGCCCGTGCGAAAAGGCCGTCTCCCTGTTTCAGTGAATTGATACAGTCAGCAAGTATAAGTAGCTAGCTAGCTTTTCCCGGTCCTGCTGGACAGGGGTTCAACTTGGCAACCCGGCAAAGAGTACATAAAATTCCTTTCATAGAAAGCAAGTGAAGACTTACAATACCGCTCATAATTCGTCAAAAAAGTCGCCGGACTGCGGCGCACTCCGCCGGAGTGCGCTGCAGTGCACCGGAGTGCGGCAGAGTGCGCCACACTCCACTAGAGTCTGCCGGAGAGCAGCGGAGTGTGCCGCACATCACTAGAGTACGTCGGAATCCGCGTCGAATCGCCATATCTCGCTTCAGAATGGACGAATTCTAAATCCGAGGACACCGTTCGATTCAGCTTAGTAAAGACGCATCATCTACTGTATAGGAGTGCCACAATCTAGCATATGATAGGTATGCGCTAAACAGTATTTCTCTCAATTTCGCGAATTTTTGTTTGGTTGGATTGTTCAGTGTGCTGATGATAGTATTGCCATTGATTTGTCGCAGATGGCACTTAGAAAGTATACTGTAAAAGCATGGTAGAGAGTCAGTCTAATCGAATTCGCTTTAAAATCTGCTCAAAATCACAACACTGCTCACAGAATGTGCAAAATTTCCGTGAACTTCACGGAATTCCGGGACTTCCTCCAAAGTCCGCGATATTCCTAGAAGTTCGCGACATTCTAGGATACGCGGAATCACGGGAAGCACGCAGAATACGCAACGTCATAACTTCTTCCAAAAATATATTTTAAATCCGGAAGCAGCATTTCGTTCAAATCGTTAAGGCAAATCTTTTGTTGTAAAGCATGCCCTCGATATTCCGTTTCCACTCAAACAATCACAGGCTCTCAGCCGGCAGCCACAACGCCACCGCGAAAACCCACCAAAAGCGCGGTGGCCTCATCGCCTCACTGTCGCTTCCCGTGTCAGAACTGGCAGCGAGCGGGCTGCTATAAAGCCTTCAGCTGCTTTCGCTTCGCGCTGAAGACTTCATAGCAGCCCGCTCGCTGCCAGTTCTCAGCGGGAAGCGACAGTGAGGCGATGAGGCCACCGCGCTTTTGGTGGGTTTTCGCGGTGGCTTTGTGGCTGCCGGCTGAAAGCCTGTGATTGTCTGAGCAGTTCTCTCGAATTTTGTGGAGGTCCTTTCGCAAGGATGTAACGCAGCGTCTGTGTAACATAAAAGATTCCAGTAAGCACTATTCGATAGTACTGTTCCTGTAGGTTATCGTGCGCTTAAAACTGGTTGCGGACTGTCCTTCAAAAGAAATAGAAGCGTTGGTGAATTTTGAAAAAATCACGCGTTTTCAAATTCTACTCGCCGTAACTTTCTTCGGAATGAATATATTCCGAATCTAAAGAAAGCTTTGCGCTCAGTTCATCAAGGCAAATCTTTCGGTATACAGCATGTCCTTGATATTCCAATTTCAGTATTCTCCAATCTTTCTGTGGACGTCTTTTTGCAAAGATGTAAAGCAGCGCGCATTACCCCTATCAGACTCCAGCAAAGACCGTTCGATAGTACTTTTTCTGTAGATTATGATGCGCTAAATAGTAGCCGCAGGTTTCTTTTCAAAGGAACTAGAAGGACTGGTGAATTGTGGAAAAATCTTGTCGTCCCAAATTCTACTTGCCATGGCCCCAGAACACAAAGCTATCTTGCTAAGCAGATGTGCGTTTCGAAATCAGCAGGTCGGATAACCTCTATGAGCAAGTTTTCCGATATGTTCGAATTATTTCATTTTTCTCGTTTTACGCTCTGGAAGCTCGCCGATGGATTTTGGTCAAAATGGTGATGCTCTTGAACTGTGAGGAAACTTCGCTTATAGAGGTTTTCGAACATGCTCTTTACGAAAATCGTGGTCTTTGAGGTTTACAGGGCCCTTTTGGAGAGATACGGTAAGGTGAATGTAACTGCATCCGAAAGTGCGTAAATTCGCCCGCACTTCTCGCGTATCTGTCAGAACACTTGCCTGCTTGCTTTTCTGTGTCAAAACTACTAGGAACTGTTCTATCGAATGGTGCATGACTCAGGCTCCAGTCTATGAAAATCTCCGAGTTATAGGCTACGAAAACACGTCATGAATTTTGCCCAAAACGTAAAAACGCATATTTCGTCGAAATTCCACCGTGAGTGCTTGTATGACACTCGCATTGCGGATATTATGTTCACTTCGCTCAAGGACTCCCACTGTATTGAATATGGTGCTTGCGTGTGCTCAGCAGCTCAATTAAATATCAAAGCTAGAAGTCATTTCATTCTATAATGCAAAGATGTGAAAAATTGACGTTCTTCACGAATTACTTTGATTTATAACCTGCGCAGAAGGAAAAACTGAGGACATAATTCGGCTTTATCAGTTTTGAATCAACATTCTAAGCGACGGATATCACGCAAACTGCAAAAAAAAAACACCAATAGACCGATAGCAGCAACCTGTGAGTCGCGAATAAAATGGCTTTTAGTGGCCCATTAATCCTTCTATCCTTTTTGAGCGAAAGTAAAGAATTTAAGCAAAAACAGCAAAAAAATGAATAAATCGGTAGAAACAGTGGGTGGGTCCCGAACAAAATGGCTTATTAATACACTTCCCACCCATGCATTACGTACGCCAAATTTGGCGCAGATTCCATTACTCCTTCTATCCATTTTGGGCGAAGATACGAAAAGTGGCTTAGCCAAATATTATATAAGTATGATTTCGTGGCTCAAGCGCAAACTACCAAATCTAACACAATAAGATTCATTAAGGATGTGAAAAGATTTAATCAGCGTGTTGTACAATCACTCACGGTGGAATTTCGACGAAATATGCGATTTTTACGTTTTAATGCACGCTGCTTTACATCTTTGCAAAAAGACGTCCACAGAAAGATTTGAGAATACTGAAATTGGAATACCAAGGACATGCTGTATACCGAAAGATTTGCCTTGATGAACTGAGCGCAAAGCTTTCTTTAGATTCGGAATATATTCATTCCGAAGAAAGTTACGGCGAGTAGAATTTGAAAACGCGTGATTTTTCCAAAATTCACCAACGCTTCTATTTCTTTTGAAAGACAGTCCGCAACTAGTTTTAAGCGCACGATAACCTACAGGAACAGTACTATCGAATAGTGCTTATTGGAATCTTTTATGTTACACAGACGCTGCGTTACATCCTTGCGAAAGGACCTCCACAGAAAAATTCGAGAGAACTGGAAACGGAATATCGAGGGCATGCTTTACAACAAAAGATTTGCCTCAACGATTTGAACGAAATGCTGCTTCCGGATTTAAAAAATATTTTTGGAAGAAGTTATGGCGTTGCGTATTCTGCGTGCTTCCCGTGATTCCGCGGATCCTAGACTGTCGCGAACTTCTAGGAATATCGCGGACTTTGGAGGAAATCCCGGAATTCCGTGAAGTTCACGGAAATTTTGCACATTCTGTGAGCAGTGTTGTGATTTTGAGCAGATTTTAAAGCGAATTCGATTAGACTGACTCTCTACCATGCTTTTACAGTATACTTTCTATGTGTCATCTGCGACAAATCAATGGCAATACTGTCATCAGCACACTGAACAATCCAACCAAACAAAAATTCTCGAAATTGAGAGAAATACTGTTTAGCGCATACCTATCATATGCTAGATTGTGGCACTCCTATACACTAGATGATGCGTCTTTACTAAGCTGAATCGAACGGTGTCCTCGGATTCAGAATTCGTCCATTCTGAAGCGAGATATGGCGATGCGACGCGGATTCAGACGGACTCTAGTGATGTGCGGCGCACTCCGCTGCTCTCCGGCAGACACTAGTGGAGTATGGCGCACCCTGCCGCACTCCGGCGGAGTGCGCCGCAGTCCGGCGACTTTTTTGACGAATTATGGGCGGTATTGTAACCTTTCTGTTTTTTTTCTTTTCTATTCTTCATCATCTCCCCTTTCTCCTTTCTACGCCTGTCCCAATCTCGCTCGCCGCCGTAATAAACTCGTCTTCTTTCCTAATTGGTTTGCATTAAAAAAGCGCATGCTCCTCACCTCGGAATGTAAATGAAATCTACAGCTTCTGCGTCACATGACTGCGGTGGAAATGATCCGATAATGACCGATAAGCCTTTAATTCTTTTAGATGTATGTCAACAAATCAATAAATTGATAGGAAGACTGAGCGATTCGTCACAAAGAGTAGCTAAAAGAAGCGCCGAGGTCGAAAACGTGTGTTCGCGAAGTTTCGGCTCAACCAATTCACGCATCAAGCAGTCTATAAGGATAAAGGATAAAGTATTTGGTGCTCTCAATATTGATACTTACGTATTCTAACTTCGTACCCAAAGAAGGATCCTTGTGTGCAGACCTTTGAGTGAGCGGGGCCTGCCGATTACAAGTCAGTCCTTGTATCCTTCCAGATTCTGGTACAAAACTATCGTCTCCGGACCGTAGAGGGCTTGGTTGACCCAGGAGCGGAATCGAAGTGATTCGATCTGGTCATAGTGCATCTTCCCACTGCATCACTCGTCCCCAAAGGAGTTTATTCGGAGCATAATTTTGAGAAGCATACATACTCAAAGATAATTTTGAGAAGCATACATACTTTTACGACAAATAGAACATAAAAATGTTCATTTTTGTGCGCCAGGCCCCGGGCATACCTCAACGATTTCAGCCGCGACGAGATTTGACAATGCTCCAACTGTTTATAACTCATCGTAAACACTTCATAAATGAACAGAATATAGGTCTTGCCGTTCTGCGAAACTGTAAACTGTCCTGTACATGATGTACATTGTAGTCTGCTGGTGTTAAATTTGAAGAGATTCTGGCAGATTGCCAGATCACGTGGCGATTAAATCGCAGAGGTATGTTCGAGGCCTTAGGCTCAGACATGTCATAAGTTTATGAAGCGCAGAGGCGCGATAAGTAAGAGTGCAAGGAGAGAAAAAATGATAAAGTGCTAATTTTAATGCGCAAAGGATGGAAAAAGTTATATGCAAAGTTTAACAAGCCGGATTCATAGACATGTCGACTTTACGTTAACTTCAACCCTGGGTTTGTGCTGCGATGTCTTGAGCACCTTGCCAAACCGAAGGTAAGCCTTACCGAAGGTTAATGGAGAAGGTCACTCACAAATTTCGCACCGATCTTTTTAGCGGCCATGTCCGCCTACCTTCATCTTTCTCGAAAAAACGATAAAGAACGTCGTGCATTACCGTGTTTTTTTTCCACCCGGGCATGCAGTTATGTTGTTAGTGAAGAATTGTACCCGCCAGGTACTCGTAGAGTCAAATCGAAACTTTAAAACATAGTAATAATTCCGTTCTCAGCGTCCGCTGGCATCATAAAGATGACTTATAAGGGAAGCTACCTACTTAGCTCGGTGTTCTGGCAAGTGACATATATATCCTGAATCAGCTTCAAACGCTGATTCCATATATGCTATTCCTAGCTGCCGAACACCATTCCGAGGCGAGTTATGGATCCTGCGCAAAATTGGCATACTCATCGACTCACTGGCATCAGACATCATCGCCTAAGTGCTAATACAATTGCGTTTAACTTCTTTTTACTGAGAAAAGATTGGATTTGTGTTATTTCAATATCTCAGCACCTCTTTCTAGCAGATTTTTATCTACAGGCACTTTTCCCATGTTCAGTAGTGTGCCAATTTTGCGCAGGAAAAAGTCCATAACTCGCTTCGGAATGGTGCTCGGCAGCTAAGAATAGCATACAGTGACCGCCAAAAAGTTGCGGACAAGCCTCCCTCCCTTTTCCATCGCTCTTTTTCAGAAGGAAAACAAGGATAAAGAAATGTAGTAATTGCATGAGGTGATAGAGCTCTTCAAGATCTACAATCTACACTTTGCGTTTTTCGAAAAACATGTATTCTAAAAAATTTCAAAAAACTTTTTCTAAAAAAAGTCCGAAAATGGGCGCGTCACAATGTCGCGGACAATAATTCTTCGAACGCAAAAATTTTCTTTTGAGTCCTGTTCTGAAGCGGAAACACAAGTAATCCAAACGGGTAAGCATACTACTATACAGAGCTCGTCAAGAACTACACCCTGGTTATGGTTGCTTCCCAGAAAACACAAGCTTGAATTTTATTTTGCTTCTTTTCAAAAAACAACTTCTAATTCCCTGCTTCAAGCCAAATTTCTTCACATGGAAAACCATGCAAGACATTCAAACAACTCTGTTCGGATAAAGTAGATGCTCTTTACCATTCTCCATGCATCTGACGTGTGCTGATGAGTTTCTTTGCTGAAAATGGCTCTTGGCAGTGCTTGCACATGACCCCTCCTGCACCTCACCACTGACTTGTACCTCTTTGCATTCTTGTAACTCGGCTTGTAGTCAATGTGTGAGCCTGCAGTTAGGCTCATTCGAAAGAACGAGACTTCCTCTACATGATGGTATGCAAAAGAGATGGGTGTAAGAAACAGCGGAGATTTGGCGGATGGGGTGGAAAAATGCGGCCTCAGTGGTAGGGTGAGGATATCCAGCTAAAGTTGAATAGAGCTTCTTTCGTTACCAGTTCAATCCTGAAAGCTTAAAACTGTCAATGTTCTTGTAATAGATCCATTTTGAAGCTCTAGAACTGTTTTGTTGTTGACAAGAGCCTTCACTTCAACCACCACTGAGGCCGCGTTTTTCCATCCCATCCGCCAAATCTCCGCTGTTTCTTATACCCATCTCTTTTGCATACCATCATGTAGAGGAAGTCCCGTTCTTTCGAATGAGCCTAACTGCAGGCTCACACATTGACTACAAGCCGAGTTACAAGAATGCAAAGCGGTACAAGTCAGTGGTGAGGTGCAGGTGGGGTCATGTGCAAGCACTGCCAAGAGCCATTTTCAGCAAAGAAACTCATCAGCACACGTTAGATGCATGGAGAATGGTAAAGAGCATCTACTTTATCCGAATAGAGTTGTTTGAATGTCTTGCATGGTTTTCCATGTGAAGAAATTTGGCTTGAAGCAGGGAATTAGAAGTTGTTTTTTGAAAAGAAGCAAAATAAAATTCAAGCTTGTGTTTTCTGGGAAGCAACCATAACCAGTGTGTAGTTCTTGACCAGCTCTGTATAGTAGTATGCTTACCCATTTGGATTACTTGTGTTTCCGCTTCAGAACAGGACTCAAAAGAAAATTTTTGCGTTCGAAGAATTATTGTCCGCGACATTGTGACGCGCCCATTTTCGGACTTTTTTTAGAAAAAGCTTTTTAAAATTTTTAGAATACATGTTTTTCGAAAAACGCAAAGTGTAGATTGTAGATCTTGAAGAGCTCTATCACCTCATGCAATTACTACATTTCTTTAGCCTTGTTTTCTTTCTGAAAAGGAGCGATGAAAAAGGGAGGGAGGCTTGTCCGCAACTTTTTGGCGGTCACTGTATGTGGAATCATCGTTTGAAGCTGATTTGGAATGTATATGTACCTTGCCAAAAGGCCGAGCTAAGTAGGTAGCTTTCCTCATTAGATTCGGGCAACACAGCGATAGAGATTGCAATCCTGTCACAATGCCAACATCCTCGCTTGTAAGGAATGTATGTATAGCTTCGTACAGAGATGTTATCACACACTTCAGTGATCTAGCTGCCTGATACTCGGTATGATTTACTTCAACCGTTCCTTCTTTGCTACTCACAAGCATATGTACATATGTACTTAATCACAACCATAACGCTACTCAGTACGTTTCCTTGTATGATTGAAAAACGATTACGAACATAATGTCGTGAGACACAACCTGCATCTAAATGTGAAAAACGAGCCTTTAGAACGACCAAAGTTGCAGACGAGTGTCGTGACTTCTGCAGAAGGAGTAACATAGATTATCATCGAGTCATACGGGGTCTGAACGAACTCCGCCATTACAGACCGTTTTTGCAGGTACTGGTCCTTTTGCAATGTTATTATGTCGTTGCAAGACCAGTAGTCCGCGGAGGCGGCTTTAACTGGCGGACTTCGTTCCCTTGCCCTGCCTTTTCCGGTGGTCCTCTTCGCTTCTCCTGGTTTGGCTGGATATGCACTAGCTGATTGTAAACATTTCTAAAGTTTGTTATGCTGCAAAAAGTTCATCGAGAGACCGGTAAAAGTGCCGTCGGGCAGCGCGTGTTGTGTGCAGGCTCACACATTGAGTTACACCCAAGAGGCAGGTTCCAATCGTGCAAGATCGTCAAATAACACGCATGATGTGCAGTACGCATAACAGGTAATGAAAGGCTCGAGGATACAATGCATCAAAATGTTAGACGTTGTGAGAACAAGGTTCATTTAGTTTCACTGTCGCTTTCTGTGCAACACAGTCTCCCCTATGCTACAATTATCAATTTCGCGTTCTTTTCCTTCTCCAGCTCTTTTTAAGAAACCAAAGCTTCCAAGCAAAACGTTCTCTTCTCTCAGTTCCAATTAGACCTTCCCATTAGGATTCACACTCACCATGCGAACAAACCTACACAAAAACTGCTCAGATTCCGAAAAATGAATGGGAATGCATGTTGACACCGTATAAAGACTATTTAGATTTGTTTTCGACTATAACTACTCGCTCAATTACAAGACCCTCGCGACCAGTAGCATATCCGATATGGAAGCAAGCTCTTTGGAAATCCTTACAAACTCGTTTTGCCACCATTCCTCACAACATCTTAAAAAGACAATTAGTTGACCTCGCAAAAGTAAGTGCCGAAATACCATGTAAGTTGATTCCTCAATGGCGTATAACATTATCTTCCAGAAAATCTACCAAACAGCATGGGAGCAATTTTTGAAGAAAAATCCAAGTGTAGATCCAAGGATCAAACCTTACATTGGAAACAAAATTTGACGTTAGCTTGTCCTTCTTGCACTGTTCTAGAGATGTAATTTGTTACATTAATGAATTCGTACAAAACTGAGGAACTTCACATTGTATAGTATAAACAGTCTTAAACAAGTTTCGGGTCCGTCTTCCATATCTGCTAGGCACTTTTCAAATAAGTTGTGAGCTTAAACCCTAAGATTGACAAGTATTTAGCGTTGTTGATGAAACTTCTTTAAGGCAGCGTCCAGGCAGATCTGGACCTATGGGGCTTTCACGTGGAAAGTACTTTTGGGGCCCTAACTAAGGCACTGCTCAAGCGGCAGCTCAGGTAGTGCTGTAATGGCTGAGATATTCCCCTCGAAACTGGACCCCGCGACCGTGTTTCGCATGGATTCGTGGCGCAAAGCGTCCTGGCGCGAAACTGCCATGAATCCATGCGAATACGTTCGCGGGGGCCAGTTTCGAGGGGAATATCTCAGCCATTAGAGCACTACCTGAGCTGCCGCTTGGGCAGTGCCTTAGTTAGGGCCCCAAAAGTACTTTCCACGTGAAAGCCCCATAGGTCCAGATCTGCCTGGACGCTGCCTTTAAATCCGTAATAAAGGCTTTTTCTTATGGTCAGCATACTCAACAATATTCTGATTACGAGCTATCTTGACAAGACTGACCAGGAATTATTTTAGATTCTTATAAATTCTCTTGCGAAATCACAAAAATTGAAATTGTAGTCTTGTAATGAAAGTCTGAAGTTGGATATTGCCCCTCGTTTTGCTCTGGAAAACTAACAAGAAGGCCTGTTTTAGAACTACCCCTGTTATGAAAGTGAGAATGATGCAAAATATGCAAAAAGCAGTTTATTGTCTTCTGTCAGAGTTTGGCAAAATGCGAATCTTTTACAACTCCATCGTGAAATTCCCGTACTTCTTGTATTGAACGACAACCTAAAAAGCAAATATCCGATTTTGTTGGCATCTAAATAATAATTAGAGTACCAGCAAGTCGCATAGTGTGCAGGAATTCTTTTTGGAATATCTGCATCACATTCGCAACACCTTCAGCTCCCTGAATCCAAAGTACTTTAAGGAAAAAGAGAAAGACAAAAGTATGAATAGATTGTTGTAGAAGACTATTATATGATGATGAAGAGCGATTTGATCGATCAATTCGTCATATGGGCCTAGTGCAAACAAGCGTGTTTGCTCGAATCAGGCACTCTTTTGCATCACTCTCATCGTCTGCGTCTCTTTAACCAGCCCACTCTCTCAGCAAAGGCACACAGGTCCGCAATAACAGACATTTCGCGCAATAGATGACCCAAGCATTATTCTTACTTCCCGTCCAAAAAGCAAAAAGCTGGTTATGCCACAAATTAGAAGTACCCAGAGCTTTTTCGCATTTTTTTTTTCGAGCGCAATTATTTTTAACTTACATTTACAGACAGACCCCAAATAACAGGACGACCAACGAATACGCCATCTGCACCAAGAGCTATAGCTTTGAAGATATCACGACCATTACGAATGCCACCATCGAAGAACACCTGGAAATTAATTTAATTTAAATTCAAAATCAGCAAATTTTGAAAATCATCTTACCGGCACCCTTCCATTCACAGCCTCTACTATACTTGGGAGTACTTCTATCTGAAAGGCAAAATCAAACGATTATGAAAATTTGTGTAAAAAAGCTTTTTACTGTAGCCGGAGCACTGTCCAGTTGGCGTCCACCATGATTTGATACAATGATTCCTTGTGCGCCTCGATTTATGGCTTCTTCAGCATCATCGGCTCGCATTATTCCTTTTAAGATTACCGGTATTTTTGTGTTGCTGCAAAAAAAATTATTCTTTGTTCATTTATTCCCATTAACTAGTTTAGGTGACAAAATTAGCGACAATCTAAGCTCTTCTGCCTCTGTTATCTCTATAATCATCTCAATTTTCAAGTAGATCAGTTTTTTAATATAAAATTTTTGTAAATATAAATTAAGCAAAACTGTTTGTCTGCCAAGCAAATCAAGAACTTTGAAATTATCATTCCGTACCTAATCACCCAGTCTACCATATTCCAATCCAAACTAGGATCGATCTGATTGCCAACATATTTTTCGAAAGCTGACTGTCCTTCGTGTGCCGATGGCATTTGTGACGATTGTATCGTTGTGAAATTTGCAAGTCTAAACATATTCAGAGAGATTGTATGGTCCTCAGGCATTTTTGCAAGTCTTACGTTAGTCCTGCTGGAAGATTGAATGCGTTCCTTTCATCTGCTAAGCGTCTGCCGAGGACTGGTGTATCCACGGTGACAACAATTGCCTTGCAGCCAGCCGCATGTGCTCGGAAGAGCAACGATGATGTGATGGATTTGTCCTTGTAAACATACAGCTAGAATTTGAATTAAGTAACAAGGAAGTTCAGGTCGAGAAATTTTTGGGAACGATCAAAGCTGAACAGCAAAAATTTGATAAGTTCTGACAAGGAAAATATTTGATAAGACTTCTATGTAACATGGCAAAGTGCTCCTATATAAGGAAGACGAAAATTAGATTCGACTCAATGATGCCTTTAGCCATTTCTTCGTTCATGGATTGAAGTAGAGCGCATGTTTTTATTTTGAAAAACTTTCGCTTATACGGCGTTTCTTAGGCACCATAAATCTAAAGGGGATTTTGAATTCAGAAAAAACACGAAGTGAAAATTAGAAGACTGGATAACTTCAAATAGGAAAAGTTCATCTATATAGATTATCTTCGCTTACATTTTGTTCTAAAAAAAAGTTTAAAAGAAAGTTTCAGCCAAGTTATTTCTTGCGCTGCTTCCCGCACCATAGGGCGCTAGCAATCTTGCACATACAGCGTGTCGCAAAATTACCGGTAGTTCGTAAAAACTAGCCGATTACCGAGTACCTATCGCGCAGTAATGGTAAAGCCGGGCACGTAAAAATCATACTGTAATAATTGTCAAATCAATCATAGCAAATCATGCATAGAAAGCTGGAGCGATGAGAGAGAAATCCTTTCATTTTTTAAAAACCTGCGTTTTGCTTTTGAAAAGTGGAAATTCACTGGAACTTAACAATAATGTGTGCGAAACTTAAGGGCCGGGCATACTTCACGCGATTTCAGTCGCGACGCGATTTGGCAATTCGCCAGAACTCTTCAGATGCAACACTAGCAAACTGCACATGCATGGTGTGTATGACTTAAGTGGGTTGATAAATACGCTATCTTCTGTACATTCAAATTGCGCTTACAATGAGTTACGGACAGTTGGAATATTGCCAAATCGCGTCGCGACTGAAATCGCGTGAAGTATGCCCGGCCCCTTATTACCTGGAACCAAAGTGGTACGTCTAATTTCATTGCTTCGTGACCGATAAGCTCGATTGCGGTTGTAGCCCAGGAGCTAACAACCATTAGAGACTTCGATTTTGCAGCACCTAAATCAAAACCAAACTATTTATCCTAATCAAAAAAAGGATACATTAAGAAATTCACACCTTGAACGGTACTTATCTCACCATCCTTCTCAGCCATGCGATGGAATGCAGTTGGTGCAATGCCGATGGGAAATCTTAACGCAGCAAGTTTAAGATGAGGATAAAGAAGTAACTTTCAAATAGAAGTTTTCATTTACAAAGAATGAGAAATATTTTTTCCTTTATACAGCTATTATATATTAGGTTGTCCCGAAAGTTTTGTCGGTTTTTCAAATCACTGTAAAACCACGCACAATAAAGATCTGAGTGAGTTTCAACATGCATTCTATGCAACTTTTCCTTCTCTTTCTTGTGGACACATTTTCGTCCCACAATCTTGTACCCTTTTTTTTATAATTGCCAAAACCCCTCACCCGTCAACTTTACCTGCCCAAAGTCTGCCTAATTTTTAAAAATTTCATTCCAAAGTTTCGAAGGGAGTTAAGTATGGATCAAATAGAGTAATTCTCGGACTACAAGGTGATATTTTTAGATTCTCCTAATCTGCTATTTTTGGCTTCAAAAAATTATTTCTGTGGAGGTCTCGGTTTTTGGCAAAGTCATGAAACACGCAATACAGCAAATACACGAAAGCTCTGCGTTGTTTCTGCGTTTTTAAGCATGATTCTTACTAAACATTGTTTATGCAACATACCTAACTTTGATTCGCTTTGAAAAAGAAGCTTTTTGGAATTTTTGGTACTTTTACGTGTTAAACTTAATCAAAAAGCCGCGGTTTTTAAATAAATAATTATAACGGACTTGGTAAGCGCGGCTCAGGTAATCTAAATTGATTACAATGTAGCCAAAGGTTTGCTCTACATAAGAGTCACCAGCTCTCTTTAGAACCATTAAGATAAAAGTTTTTAAAATTCAGGAAAGATTTGGCGTTACTGCTGAGCTGCTCAAAAAGCCATGGCGATAACATCGCTATGACAAGGTAGATCAGAGAGCAAGTACAACTATAAGAAAGAGGATAAAAATCTGAATTAAATGGTACATAAGCCTTCCACGAATTGGTGTTCTGTGAGTTTCAGTGAGCGATGAAAGAAACCGACAAAACTTTCGGGACAACCTAATATATAGAATACTACATGTACGTGTGTGAATTGTGTTATTGTTTTTTACTTCAGTTTTGGAATTCTTTTGGTGTATTCAAATAAATAAATAAGTAGAAAAATGAACAAACAAATAAATAAATATTATCAAAGAAAGTGGGAAGAAAAAGAGCGAAGGGAATTCTAGAGTTTTTTCTAACAGAAGACTGTGAGGAAATGGCAAAAAATTATCTAGAAATATATCAGAAATTCAAACCTGAGGTTATTTGAGCGCTTTCAAATCTTGATCGATAAACTGTAAGACTAAGGAGGAAGCTTGCGCTAGACAAAATTCAAGAAATTGCTCTAACTTACACCCTTCAAGTAAATTATTTTGCACTATTTAGTTAGATACTTACGGCACTTCTATTCCGAACCATTCCACAGCAGTATTCACATCGCTAACATCTCTCAAGCATCTTGGAACGATCAAAAGACTGAAGAAGAGAAGAGAGTGTAATCTAAATCTTATTAGTAATGTGGAATACCTTTGAAAAGCCTTTACATTTCGCGTCAGTGTCAGTTCCTCATCTGCACCGCGGTTGTAATATTCCATTTCCATTTTCTTCAAATTTGCTGTAGCTTCCTTGCGATAATCATCGATTGTAAGTAACAGCCTCTTTTTTACTGGCATCTAAAAGGTGCTATGGTTTTTTGAAAGTTTTGTGACCGCGGATATGACTTGTTGAAAATAACAAGTGTTCCGTTCTGACAAAGTGCCTCGTGATACAAATTCGGCGGTCGGACAGGAGGCAGCAAAGACTCGCCGCTTCTGCTTATTATGGATACCTGGGGGACTTCAGACTTCCTCGCGCTTCTAATTACTTCTTCGCACTTCTAATTACTTAATACGACCTATGCCAAATTGATCGTTTATTTCTCTAGCGTGGCGAGTTTTGAGATAGCTTTTACGTTTCGAATTTATAGCAAATAAGATAACACGTTCAAAAAGGACTTACAAATGGCCATTCAACGTCAAAGGCGATATGAAATCAGATTCATTGATTCGAAAATATGAATTGATCTATTCAAAGTCTTCAAACCAGAACCTCAAACATGTTTTTGTGAATTTTTTTCTCATGTCATTCCGATTAAAGACAAGGACTTTGAAGACTAATCATTCGTCCTTTATTCTGCGGCAGAATCACTTCCTTTTCTTTAAGAATTTGAAGTAAAGTGCCCGAACCTGATATTTAAATATGCTGAAAACGATTACTGAGATTGAAAGAAATTGCAATATTCCCAGATTGATCCAGGGTGGGATACTCTTCAAGAAGATTTTCGTTCAATCCTCTATCTTGTAAATTAATCAGAGGTGAAAAAAGCGATTAGAGGCGCGAGGAATCTGGAGCTCCCCAGGTACTTCCAGAAGCAAATGCGGTAAGCCTTTGCTGCCTCCTGCATAACGTCCATATTTTTATCTAAATCTTCTAAGAATGTCTGAAGAACATGCCTCACTTTACCTATATCTCTTTTAAATCACTGCAGGCCTTTAAAAACACATAGTTAAACAGTAAAGATGTTTTTTGAGAGCTTCGATTTCGTATGACCAAAACGAACGGGATAAAGAAAACGTAGAGATTTATATATATGTAAGAAATCACGAGAACAACAGCAATTTAGCAGAAAAATTGCACTACATGTTGATTAAATAGCATTCACAGTTTTGAACAAGTCTCATACGAGCAACATTTCTGCCAAAAATTGGCTCGATCTTTTAATTCATTGTAATAGCTTCTGATATTAAGACGATGATGGTGAAAACGAAAATGAAGAGAGCAAGAAAGAATGTGATACAGCTTTCATTGGAACATTTTAGAGACGGCTTCAAAGGACGTCAGGCAGGAGGCAGCAAAGGCTGGCCGCATTTGCTTCTGGAAGTACCTGGGGAGCTCCAGACTTTTTCGCGCCTCTAATCATTCTACGCACCTTTGATTACTTTACAAGCAAGAGAATCAAACAAAAAGCTCCTTGAAGAGTATTGTACTTTAGATCAAGCTAAGAATCTTGCAATTTCTTCCAGTCTCAGCTATAATCGGTTCCAGCCTTGCGAATATCCGGTACAGAGCAATTTCCCCAAAACTCGTGGAGTAGAAAGGAATAATAAGACTGCCGCAAAATTAAGAACGTGTAAGGCTATTAGTCTTTACAGTCCTTGTCTTCAATCGGAATGATCATACGAGAAAGTTACCAGAATATGCTCAACATTCGTTGAAGATTTGATAGACCAAGTTATACTTCCATATTTACTCAAAATTCTGATTTTTATACCTCCTTCGACGTTAATCGCGCCTTCGACGTTGAACAAGGCTAATTCTATAAATCTTTTTTGAAACTTACTATTTCATTTGCTATGAATATGAAACATAAAACCTGTATCTCGCAATTTACTACACTTGAAAAGTTTGCGAGTAATTCGGCAGAGGTCATATCAATTAGATATTTAGAGGGGCGAAGAAGTAATTAAAAGCGCGAGGAACTCTGAAGCTCCTCAGGTACTTCCGTAAGCAAAAGCGGCAGGCCTTTGCTGCCTCCTGCCCGACCGCCGGCTTCAAATAGGTTTGAAAATGAAAGGTAAGAACTGAACTAAAATTAACTCTTATTTTTGAAAGATCTGTCCGTCCGAAAACGGGGAAGAGTTTCATTATAAAGTACAGTGCAAAAAATGATCCCATGCTGTATAAACAAAAAGCGAACACTAACACTGATAAGAATGATTTGATTAGGTGACCGAAGGTCACCTAGTGTTATCCGTCAGGACAAAAGCAATTAGGATTCTTAGGTCGTTTGTTGTTGGCTTCTGTTGAATTCGTTCCGGATGGCTTGAAATTCACTTGAAAACACTTCTGCTCATTATTCAACCTTTTTTATCCGTATTCGAATGTTCTTTCCAGATGATTTCCTTCCAAAAACTGATTTGTAGCACCGAATCTAAAACTTTTCTATTGTAGGTTTCCTTTATTTGATTGGATGGTTGTTTGGTAAAAGCTTAGAGAGGAACCCGAATGGATCCTCGGTAGTATAGTGGTGAGTATCCGCGTCTGTCACATGCGAGACCCGGGTTCAATTCCCGGCCGGGGAGAATGTTTTGCTCTTGGTGCCTCAGTCCAAAAACACATGCGAAATAGTCGAAAAGATATAAAATAAAGAGTAACTTAAAACATTAGCACTGACTACTGCAATCTTTTTATTGGAGGGAGGGTTACCTAGACCTAGGGCTAGTATAAAAAACAAGAAGTTTGAGCTTAAATAAACAGTTTAGGTAAATTCTGCCTCGTCTTTTCCCTCCACTTCTGTAGGTAGTTTATAAAGGAAAAATTCCATAAAGTCCATGTCTCAAGCCTTTTCCTTACAGGTTAGGACTACAGATTTGATAAAAAAAAATTTACTTTGTAACCACCACTAGAATTTTAGGATGTGAGATGACTGTGAGTCAAAAGCTTGGAATCGATTATTGTATTCAATTTTTGAGATGTACGTCTTTTCAAACCGCAAATCAAGCATTACTCAGAGTGATTTATCGCCATCCCAGCATCTACGTATTCAAAGTCAGCCTTGTCAGAAAATTCTTTACTATACAACCTCACACATGGCATCACCATAGTTACCATAAGTTATAAGTCGGTTCTACACTTCTTAACAGCTTTTAAAAGTTTCAAGAATCTAGCTTTACCAAAGATTTGACACATCAATGCAATACTTGCCCCAATAGCTGAGATCCTCTAAAGAAAAATTCAAGAAGCGTGGAGGAAAAAATAATTTATGACGAGAACAATCAAATTTTTGAGGCAACAACCATCTAACAAGGGACCTGAGTCTATCTTACCACAAAAATCCTTACCGTTGCTGGAGAAACAGTTCCTGGCTTCGAGCCAGATCCAACCACTCTCGCATTGTTCTAAATATCATTAATAGCAAACATGATGAAATGATTCCGCTAAAAAATAACATCGTTTTTATACTGCCTCAAAACTCACCCGCGGTTGCGACACACTTCGTTTTTCTCTCGAGTATCTGTCCCGAGGAACAGCGGATGCAAACATATCTAGCTAGAAATATGGAAACTACAATCTCTGCCAGAACCCCCCTTTGTTGCGTGTCCCATCAAAATAATCGCATTATTTTGCACTGCCTAATTCATGAGGCACTTTCTATTAGATTGGAATGCAGCTTTAAAAATATTGTAAGAATTTTTATTTATGATCTGCATGGTCATGCGAAGGATAGAAAAACGTATTGTACAGAGAAAACATGCAAAAGTAAAATGTAGGCTAAAACAATGTCAAGCTATTGAAAGATGAAATTTGAGGTAGTAGCATTGGTTATTTCATTCGTATGTTGCTTGAGTGGAGAGAATGTCATCATCGGAAATTGCGTAGTGTGGATTTACTTCTTATTGCAGATAATGGTACATTTCTGGAAAAATCTCGATTTAGTTGCTCTTGGCAGAAAAAGTATTCCTTCACTTACATGTGTGTGACTATCGCATCTGTTCTGACACGGCTCTGGTGGAGCTCGAAGAACTGGTAGTGGTGGTGGAGGCGGTGGTGGCGGAATGGGATCTAGAAAATTTTACTTCTGATTGAATTGTTTGATGAAATTGAGACTTACGACTTATGCAGTGCGGCAATGGAGGTGGACAACGGCCATTTAGACAGGGCTGCACGACCATGTCGCAGTGGGTCCCGGGTGGACAACGTGTGGTGGCGCAAGTTGGTGGCGGTGATGGCGCTGGTCCTGGAAATGGGACTTCATACAGATTGAAAAGCATAATTCGTTTTGTTCAACGGAATCTGGTGTGTGCAGGATTTCTTAGTCGGAAAATTTCCAACTACTTTTTAAAAAGTGTTTTGTTCAGCAGTTTTATGGTAAAATATCACATTAGCTCATCCTAGAGCGGTGATCAAGGATCCGCATCCGTATAGCATCGCGCGCAACCGCCGCGTAACTGCCCTGCAACCGCGCTGCGTCTGCTGCGAGCCACACTTTCATTTAATGTTTTGAGTGTCGGATGGAAAGAGCAGAAATGTGATTTCTCTTGTTTTTCACCATTACTTCGTCACGGATAAAAGTATGATTATGCGGAGGGCATCACCCCGCGACTACCGTTCCCACACGACTCTGGTGGGGTCGATTCCAAGGGGCTTATTCGTTCCTTTACCCCTCACTGATTATTTTCAATCGCAAGTCCTTACTTGGTATCACACATCTAGGTTCTGGAGCATGACATGGAGGTCGTACGCATTGTCGCTGAACCATTTGACACACCATTCCGGGAGCGCAGAGCACTTGCGAACAGTCAAGAGGTCTTGGTGGAGGTGGCGGTGGTAGTGGTGGACCTGGAATCAAGACAGATCAGCTCTACATAGCTCTACGAGGTTTAGGAAAAGGGAGGAGGTCCACCTCCACTTTCTTTAGAGTCAAAAACCTCACTCATTGCTATACATGTCGGATGCAGTGCTGCACAAGCTCGTCCAGGCGCACATGGTTCCTGTACCATTCTGCATGCTGTTCCCATTGGGCACTGTATTTGCGAACAAGAAACTGGTGGCGGAGGCGGTGGTGAAGGACCTGTGGTGTGCGTTCGATGGTCAGACAGTTTCGAAGGTCGAGTGTCTACTACGACTCCTACGCGAACAAAGTACGCTGTTTCCCAAGCTAATACAAAAAACTGTGCAAAAACGACTCAGCCAAGTTTTTTGCCTCGTCTAGGTCCATTCATACGCCTACACACAGGGTCATCTAGAGGATTTTGAAGAGTGTTCAATTGTTGGTGAAGAAGAGTTTAGTCTAGTATAAATAACATAGCCTTGTCTGAACATCAAACAAACATGCCCTCGTTACCACTCTGGTTTGTAATCTTGATGGTCTTCGCAGGGTAAGTTAAGTCAAAAAGCCTGAATATTGTAAAAGCAGTTTGTTTTAGATCCCACGCACAGTTGGCTACCATTCACGGTCAGTTCTCTTAAGCATTTGGGGGAAAACTAATTCATGCGCAATTCTGTGGAGTCAAACATAGCGTAATCACTTTGCCTACAGAAATATACACTATTTGTCCATCTAAGGATACAAGACTTATGAATGCAAGGCGATTATGACTTCTGAAAATTGCCCAAATTTTTTCTTGCAAATTCTTTTCACGCTGATCTCAACAGTTTCGTTTTAGACAGAAAGTAGAATAACAAAACAAAGTTTTCTATTGCATAACCAAAGAGACAACCCTTACAATCTCAATACAATCTGTGGTGCCGCCTCTCGGACTACTGGTCCTTTCGCACTCGTCTGAGCATATCGTAAGAGGAACAGTAGTCCGTGGAGGTGGCGCCTAACAGCGGAATTCGTTCGTCCACCCTACTCTGCACCAATTTTAGGAATAGCCGCCCCAGCCGTTCACACCGCACCACTCCTTCCTGTTTCAGCTGTTGCAGCTCCTTACCCTATGGTATATGCTTAAATGATGTGAACCTCATTGATCCATATTGTTACCGTAGCCTGACCATTTCCGTTACAGTACTCCGCCTACTATCCACATAGCGTCGCCACAACCTTCAATGCAGTGAGCAATGACGTGCTAGATACCGCTTTTCCGTTCAAAAATCGACGTCTGGCAGCAGCAAAAAGAACTCGAGCGCGCACTCTTAAGAGAAACAGGAACTGAGAAAGTAGAACGCAAAAAAAGCATTTATCTTTAGTTTTGTGATTTCTAGATACAATAAAAAATTCTGTGGTAATTGTAATTTTTCTACCACGAACACCTCACTTGAAGGGATTTTCAACAATCAACTTGAAATTTACATGGCAGTCTGCGTTGATCAAATGGACACAACCAAAGAGTGAACGGCAATACGTGCAAATTGCGGTCAACTTGATGCTCCGACCACTCCTACCGTACTCTACCATATCATGTCACGACCACTTCCATACCAGACCTAACCATTTCCCTGTCCTTTCTGTCAAAATTCTGATTGGCGTCTAGAACCGTGCCCTAACATGCCCTAAACTGCTTTACCTAGGCTTAAACAGAAAAAATCGATATACTGATTGATTCACAAGGTGTTTGAGTTACACGACTCGAAGCTCCACCCACCTCTACCGTACTCTATCGTGTCAAGACCCGTTTCAGCCAATTCCTCAGCCTCTGCTTTTTCGCCAAGGAAGACGTGTGAGGAGCTACTCCGTGTTTTAAAATTCGAATTTGTGGCATTTCGCGCCTAACGTCAGCATACGTGTCTCAAACAGCCTACCTACTATTTCAGTCAATCGATATATTGATTGTTCGCAAGGACCTCTACACAGTTATGAGTGTTCACCTAATGTTCTCACCGTCCATACTTCATTTCATTATGATTCAAACTTACTGTTCATGACACAAGTAGGAGCTCGCTGGCACGGTTGATGTGGGCACGGCTTTGGTGCCATTTCACAGTGCATTCCGCTGGAGCATGACATGGCTGAGCAGCCTGTTTCCACCATCTCGACTGAATTTTTTTTTATAAAAATGGAAAATTTCATAGTATTGGTAAGTGTGACTCACTGGTACAGCTCTCTACGCACTGATGATGCGCATTTCGGAAGTATCCCTTCTGACATTGGCATCCTGACACGCAGTGTTGATTACAGTGCTGAACATCCACCATTCAAAATTTGACCGAAAAAAATTCATTCCCGCTTACAGGCTTTGGATTACCACAGCTAGGTTCGCATCCTGATCCGCACTCGACGTATTCTTCGTGAACGCCGCAGTGATGGCCTAAAGGAAATTGATAAATCTTCTCAAATTTCCTGATAATTCTTTCATGACGACTTACCGTTATGTCTTGCAGAAGCAAGTGTTAGACAGAAGGCTATAAAAACCTAAATAAGTAAAATTTATTTTATAGCAATAAATTCTGACAAAAATACAAAACGATTTTTTCTCAGCGCAAAAACCAAGTTACAAACCCTCAAACTAAATATTACCAATGAATTAGTAAAACTTACTAAGTGTAATAATCTCATGACTAGATGAGTTTATTCCCAAGTCGAGATCAGAGTCTTGTAACCTAGAAAGCATAAGGTATCGAGAAATGAACCATTGAAGAATTGTGCGAAATCTGTGACCAAGAACAAAGAAGAAAATGACAACAAGTGTAGTGGACGGATTTATGTACCTTTCTTTCGGGCGGGAAACTCGGAAAACGATCCTTTTTGATCCATTTGATCGTCCTCGAATATCTCCACTTAGCATCTTGAACTCTCTCCAAAAATGTGCTTTTGCGATTTCCAACAGTTTCACTCGATAGATTTTCAAGTGCAAATTCATCTTGAAATCACGCGCAGGGTATAGATTATTTACAGCTGATCTTAATGTAATACATGAGAATCCCCTCACCCTCCCCCCCCCCCCCTCCCCGCCCCTGTTCGTGTCCACGACTTTCTAATCAATTTTGACCACCTTTAGATATGTCATTTGTAAAAGACATATCAGAGAGAATGTCTGAAACAAGCAAGAACGAAGATTACTGTGATTTCAACTACTTTTGCCATAACAGTAGCAAGTAATGCTTTGAAAAAAAGATTCTTTTCCGAAATTTTTATCCACTCATGCTAGTAATGAATTAAAGAATGACTTATCCCAAAATTTTACTCACTTCTGAAGTGCTAACTATATGGATGCTTCTAACAATGTTGATCTCGTAATTTCCATCAATGCGTTTTTACCGCTGCTTACTTCTTTTTTCTACATGCAATAGGTTCCCATATTCCCATTCCGATAAAACTTTCAAGCCATTAAGCAGGTCACACATTGCTTCTTTTACTTCTTCTCAGCGTCTGTACTTTCAATTGTTTCAAACAATTTTTTTTAATGATTCCAATTCATGAGCTTTCCCTTAAATCATCTTAGCCGATTCTATGTGCAGTGCCTAATTGGTTTCCTTCATAACAACACAAAAATTCATGCACGTCAGTCTCATAATTATTGGCTTTCGCACTATGCCAGGTCAAAATTGACAGATATTTTCCGTACTCCTTCTTTGGTTCAAAATTCTAAGAATCGTTGAAGCTATGTGTGATATTACGCTCATACTATCAATATTTTTCCAAACTCAAACAAGGTTTTCAGTTTTTTTTTTCGTAACAAGGTTTTCAACAAGAGCCCTTAGACAATTACTGACATTTCGCCATTCTAGCAAGCCATTCTACTGATTCTACTAATATGTCGCGTAAAAGTTCTGTATTTAGTACTTACTAGGACTACATGTTGCTCCCTTTTATATACTGAAATCATACAACATCTTTAACTCATGGAACTCATTTACTATTTTACTATGTTGGTCCTAGCTTTTCACCAAAAACTGGAAAATTCGATGTTTATTCAGCTTTGGAAATTTTAATTTTTCGGGTGTTTACGGATAAACATGCGCTTTTCAAAAGTACTTGACGCAATTGCTGACATTTTCTCAATAAAATTTTTGTTACTGTCAAGCAATAACGACATGTTATTTGACCAAAAAAGATTCGTGCTGTGGGTTATACCTAGTAGTTATTGAATTTTTTTCGTTTACGACTCAAATTGTTGTAGATTCTCTAATAAGTACAATAAAGTAAAACATTTTTCAAGTGCAATAAAAAGTAGATAATGTAAATCAAAACGGTCTCAAACACTTACAAATTGAACTTGTATTTTGGGTACGAATTTTCGATAAACCTGATCAGCATTTGAATGGGTTCCCATAATCCTATTCCGATGAAGCTTTCAAGCCATCAAGCAGGTCACACATTGCTTTGTTTACTTCTTCTCAGCGTCTGTACTTTCACTGTTAAATTAACTTATTACTTCTTTGCCGTCGCAGTCATAAAGTAACACTCTAATAGCTTCTTACCATTCCTTTCATTGTCATGTGTCATAACTTTTAAGTCTGGCTTGCGTAGTTTGAGATTCGCTATGCAACAAAAAATCTCTCGTAAAGCAGTTTATATGGGAATAGATAGAAATACAATGCACTGTGTGAGTTTAGATTATGTTCTTTGAAGTGGAATATGCTAAAAATTTATCAGAAGACGATGCTGGACCAGTGTTGACGCAGGCTAGTTATTTTTAGCTAATGCCCACTTGAGTCCATACTTTTGCTTCATTCTTTCACTCTGATTTTTGATCTTCTTTACTTTCTTCCTTGGTGCAATACTGAGCAGATTCCCAGTAAAATGTATCCTTTGCGGAAGTTTCTTTATAGGCTCCTCACTTGGAACTTGTTCACAAAAACACAAAGGTATACCACCGTGTCTTCCGCGGCGTCCTCGTTTTCCTTGTTTCCCAGGTGGTCCTGCCTTGCCTGAGACGCCAGGCTCTCCTGCTGCTCCGAGTGGACCTGGTTTTCCTGCTGGAGAAGGCTCACCTTGTTTTCCGGGCTGGCCGCCGGGTCCCATAGGTCCACCCGGGCCAGGCGCTCCCTTCTTTCCGATTCCGTGCTTAGCGTTTTTTCCTGCGGCCCCTTGTTTTCCAGGTGGGCCTGCTTTTCCCACTGGGCCGGGTTCTCCCATAGGTCCTAGTGGTCCAGTTGGCCCTGTCTGTGCCTCTCCTTTCCTCCCAGGCTTTCCCTCTGGCCCCGGTGGCCCCGGGGGACCGAGCGGACCCTTCTCGCCTAGTTTCCCAGCGGGGCATTCAAAGCATATATTAGTGTCAACCCTTTTGACAATGATTATCACATCCATTCCAGGCTCTCCCGGTCGACCAGGTGCGCCATCCTTGCCGGGTAAGCCGAGAAGCCCGTGCACCCCACGGGGACCTGGAGGGCAAGTTGGAGGGGATGCACAACTGCAGAGCACACTTTCATGGATGAGTGTCCCGTAGAAAGTAGCTCTTCCACTTCTAGGTGTATGAAGCGAATGAATGTTTATTTGCTGCCATGCTTTATCTGCTAAAGCCTAAAATACTTTCAGTAGTTTAGCATATAATTAATTTGACACAAATAGGAAGATACATCTCACCCTAAAGTCTTGCAGCTCCTTGATTTCGTTTCCAAAGAAAGTGTTGATATCAATTACCAGGTACGCCATAAAAAGAATACTTATGATTGTTGTCACAGCGGCGATGGAAATGAAGAAAATGATGATTGTCGTCGACTTGAAAAATGAATCTGTAAAAAAGTTTCTTTGACAAATTAACTGCATAACAAGCATCTTGTTATCTGTAGACATCTCTAATAAAATTCCAATCAATTTCACGCTTACAAATGTATATTTCTACTCACCTTTGTGGCTTAATTTGCCTAGAAACAGTTTGTAAGCAAAAAAGTTGCTATTCTTCTTTCTTTGGTAGGAAATCTTTCGCTAGATAAAACTGTTTTTCGAGGATTGCACATGTCTTCAAGAGTTTGCGATTTAATTTTAGCAATTAACTCATCCTACCGTACCCCACAACAAAGACTGTATCTTTTTTATAGACATTGCTTACCTAAAGCCAAGTCATTTTTGTCATAACTGCCGCATTGCACAAGACGTGCACTCTTTCACTGCTTGTACAATCACTGGAAGCTTAATTTTCGGGTTTCTCATTGTTTTCTTCTTTTTGCTTGATTAGATGAATATTGAACCGTAACCTTTTGATAGTTTGTTCCGCCAAGAGAGTTTTACTGAGAAACTAGTTAGGCATAATGATTTGTCGCGCGCATTTGCAGACTCACATACTGAGCCATGAGCAGTGAGTAACGGATACTACCTAAAATTTGAAAATTAAAGCATTGTACAAAAATCCGTTTTTTACTTACAGTCTGTCGCGTAAGTGGACATTCAAAAGCTGAGAAATGGAAGAAAATGCGATTTCTATTCGTGTAAAGGCGACTTTTTGCTTCCAGCTAGGAATATTGATCTAACGACAAAAAGAAAAATTGCATTAGATACTGTTTGGAATTCTAGTTTTATTCTCGCTTTGAGATTAAGTCTGAATTGAAGATGGAGGTTCTCATGACTTTTATCAATAGTTTGCATACCTATAAATGCATATAATTTCTATCCGTTGGGAAACGAGATTATAAGCTGCCTTATATATCCAATTCTTCTGCGGTAACCTACGCAAAAGCCCTGATTAGCTCGAGATTTCAGCCAAAATCTAAAAAGGTTCAACTGCTTGAAAAATCGAGAAAAATCGTAACTTCCAAGTACGACCGTCGCTCAATCTCGGCATTGTGGAAATTGCTTTGAGAACTGCTTGAGCTTGACACCGAGATTAGTAATTGCTTTATTCGACTGACGTTTCGGCAAAATCGCCTTCTTCAGAGTCTGAAATCGTCGAATGCATGAGTAATCCATCCCATCAAAAACCGCATCAAGACTCAGAAAAGACGTCCAATGCGTCAGTAAACCGAGAGCTAAGAAAGTAAAAATTACTAATCTCGGTGTCAAGCTCAAGCAGTTCTCAAAGCAAAATCGTAACTCATTTTATAAAAATTCTGCAAAAATTCTAGCTTGCTCACCTAAACCTTATCCACATCAGATATCTATATATGCCATTGCCGTGTATTTTCCTTCGTTAAAAATCAAGAAAACGGAAATTTTCGTGCATTTGTCAAAGTGGTGTTGTGCCACCCCCACATAAGTGGTTGTATATAACAAACCTTGTAAGTACAAACGTAACCTTCCAGCTCTCTATAAGCTTTAGTTCTCGAAAAATTTGAATTTTAACTTAAACACCTTACATGGGAAAGCTATATCCGATATTTCTCGAGAACTAAGGCTTGTGGAGAGCTGAAAATTTACGTTTGTCTTCTACAGGTTTGTAGTGTACAACTACTTATGTGGGAACGGCACAGCACCACTTTGGCAAACGTATAAATCTCCGTTTTCTTGATCTCTAACAGAGGAAAAAATACGGCAATGGCATATACAGATGTTTTATTTGGATAGGGTTTAGGTGAGCAAGCTAGAATTTTTGTAGAATTTTTATAAACTGAGTTGCGATTTTCCTCAGTTTTTTGGGCAGTTGAATCTTTTTGATTTTTGGGTTAAAATTCGAGGTGTATAAGAGCTGTTGCTAAAGCAAGATTGCCATCTTGTAGTGCTTGCTTTGCTCTATCAAACGGTGCTTTGCAGCCCATTTAGAGATGAGAAGTGTATGACTTATAGCGGCTGGAATTCAAAACAGGCATCAAATTCCGGACAACCTAGTAAACTGCGGTGTCTTACCCGAAAGCTTGAAAAGGTGTTACCATACCTGAACTTTTGGAGACAGAGAGCATAATTGGATGAACCTTCCATAGGAATAAAATAATGAGAAAGTCTCAAAAATAATGCGCTGCGCTGGAATCAACAAAATTGACCTATATTCGTGGTCGTGAAAGTACAAATCTTTTGAAGAAACACAAATTGTCAAGACTTCAAGAGCATCCGCGAAAAGAAATTCGCATGAGTGTTGTGAATGTTTCCCCGTTAAACATATCGTGGACTGATTTCGCTCCATAAAATAAAAGAATTAGAATAAAAATAAATAACTACTGGGAGGAGGTAGATGAAGTAAGTAAGAACTTATCTGATTTTTCCGTATCTCCATAATCTAGCGTCTTAACGAAGGTGAAAGTGAATTATAATTACTGGGGAAACAAACTCGATTGAATCAAAAAATCAAGAATCTCGAAAAATCAAAAATCAAGTCAAAAAAGAAATTTTCAGCCTTCCAGAATATCAGAGGGATTACTGTACATCTTAAAGTACAGACTAGACTGAGTGCATCAATCCCGTTGAAGCTGATCTTTACCATCACAATTAATCAAATACTTTCCAAATTGAATAACCGACTTCAGGGCCGGTAGTAATCTACCCTACCTGGTGGCATCATAGATGCCGGCAAGTTGGCACACATCGCGGAAAGATGCCAACTCCGCCGGCAGCCCGCGGAGTGATTGTAGGTTCTGATAATCTTATGTAACCTTAGTGCGCAATCATTTCGCACATCAAATTTTGATGACGCAGACAGCCGCAAAACTGCTACCTCGCGCGCGGCCGAACCTAAGTGCGTTAACTTTAAATGCCACCTCGTTAACCATTCGGCCATTCGAGCAACCATTGTCTATTGTCACCAGCAACAGGAGGAACGCACCGGTAAGTGGCCGCCTATAAGAGGGATCAATACATTGCGTGAGAGACTTTGACCTGAAAGAACAGCTGATTGATATGAGCGAGAGAGGGGCGAAATCGGTGCAAACAAGATTTAGAAGGGATTGCCAAAAAAGATAGTGTTCTTTATGGTTCTAAAGCATGACTAGATTTTTTCTCTGTAAGAAAATCTTCGTTTTAAAAAAGAAAAACTCATATAATGGGAAAAATAATAGAATTTTGATAGAAAGTAGAGTTTTTCGATTTTTTCGCCTGACGTAAATTGTGTGATATCGCCGCAATTCGCAAACTCACAGACGCCGTCGGCAAAGGTGCCACCACCTCGACGTGGTAGGGGCACGTCGAAATGCCGGCAGCTCCCTCTCTCAAAAGAGCACGCTATTTCCCGTGCTCTCTGACCTGCCGGCAGCTGCCATCTCGCGGATTCCGCCAACTTGCCGGCAGGTTGCCGGCAACTGACCTCGCGAAGTTGCCGGCAGCTCCTCCTGGAATTCCAGATATTTTACTAAAGGAGGAGTTCTGGAGCCGCAGATTTTTATGAACTTTTCTACAGAGTCGAGGCGGCAACTTTATCGAGAAAATTTTTTGAAAAAAGGCCTGGGACGGCCTAAATTTCGGCTCTTAGTTTCTGGCCACCTCGCGGAAAGGTGCCAGCAACCTGCCGACGAGACCTGCCGCCAGGTCGGGGGGATTACTACCGGCCCAGACTTCTTTCCCCCACCACAAGGAAGGCTTTTTCAAAGGTTACAGAGTGCCTCGAGCATTAGCATCAGGAACCATTAACATCATCTTCTAATTCTCTTTGCTGAGCTCGTTATACAAGTTTTTAGCCTAACTAGGAACTAAGAACAAGGCACTTTACTAGTCCATTATGTAATGTCGTACACAAAACTGTCCCGTTATAACGACTTCCGCGGCTTATGGTGCTCATAACAGTCCATTCTCTTTGATTTGATCAAGTTTGGAACCGTTACTATTTGCTTGAGATGGGTTCCTTCGTTGATTATATAATTTTGCAGATGTGGTTGTGTGCAAATTTTCCATTGCAGCTCATTGTTTCGCTTATATCGTTCAAAATCATCTTAATTTCATACAAATGATTGCCTAAAGTTTTGGCATCGAATTTTCTATGATTTGTGTTTGAAACAAACACAGAAAGGATGGAGTATGCTTCAATCTTTACTCTGCGAAAGTGCCCGTATATGTTACCATGAAAAGCGAACTTGTAGTTAAGGACAATATCTTGAAAACCTTGGTCGACTTTAGATTATGAAAATATACGTGGCGTGTTTTGCGATTGAGTTACCTTTTAGACGATCTTTCCATGTTCCGTCTTCCTTAAATCTGCGCATGTTCGTAAGTTTCAAATATGGCTGCGTCAAACAGTATGTTAGGTGTTCCTTTATTCGTCAATACTCTGCGGTCTTACGTTTCAACGTGTTTGCTCTATCAGGCCTGAAATGTTTCAAAGTATGTTTAAACTCCAGCCCGTCAAACGTCTCCGTTACCTTGCCAATTCTCGGCTCTTTCGCGGTCCAACGCTACAAAAATTGCCAAAGATAAATACTAGGAAACCAAGCTTTGTTCCATGTCCGTACCGGATGTGCATGGTCGCGACGGATCAGTTAGTAACTGAGCTGGATATCACATAAACAGTCATAACTCACATAATGATAAAAGGAGAAATTTAGCAGTCATGGAGAGACCCCTTTTTTGTTGTTTGTTTTTGAATTCCTCGCAGAAATCCAGACGATTTTAAGGCTTTTTTCCAATACTTTGTTATCAAGATCGTCTCCACCAAGCGACTCGTGTTTGTATCTGCTAAGCGACAAAGCCAATTTTTTGGGCCTATTACGAAATGTTCTCTAATGCGACTGCCGAGAGTTCTTCCTGTTCAACATAACGTGCATTACACTTCAGTCACTCAAGCTGACACACAACTCCTAATTCTACATAGTCACCCACTCTACCGTGCATGCATATCGCGCACTGCTCTGTATTGTAGCAACGAATGTTGAGGCTGTCACTACGAGCTGTTTCTGATAATATCTTTGAGATGAACATCTTAGACATGCGTAGCAGACATAGGCACGAGTCGCAGAGACGACTTTAACAAGGTCACAACTCTGACATCTGAAAAAGAATTCTCGGCTAGGAAAGCCTTGGAATCTTCTGGATATCTGCAGAGGTCCGAAAAATGATGAAAAAAACGAGTGCATATCCATGGCTGCTAAGTTCCTCCCTTTCTTTCATCTCCATATGAGCTGTAACTACTTATGTGAAATACAACTCAGTTACGCTCATTGGTTCCTCCCGACGATCTACATCCGGTACGGACATTTAGCAAAGCCGTATTTCTCTAATATATCTTTTGCCTTCGCAATTTTGGTAGCGCTAGATTAGAGGAAGAGCCAATATGGCAAGAATAGTAAAGAGTATATTGCGTTGGAGTCAAACAGATGTAGCTTTGAACAATTCCAGGCGTCTGATGAAGACCAATCGCCACTGACTGCAGGGTAATGACGACTGAAAGACCACCTAGCAATTTGCTCGGCACAGCAGTATCGACATTTACAACTATTTAATGGTAATTTTGAGTCTGGAGCATGGTAGTCAGTTATGGTTCAATGGCTGAATTAAACACATCAAAGTTTGAAAGTGTTTTCGATTGAGAGGGCATTTTAGATGAATTTTGGATTACTCCAAAAAGCATCGAAAGCTGATGCCAAATCTGTCTTCGTTATCTCTTGTACCATTGTTGGATAGCACTATCTAAAGCAAAAATTACTTTCTTAATCATAGTAATACCCATCACTACTCTATTTGGGCAGTGAAGTATATGTTACATCATTATTGATTTTGCCTAAAGTTTGATTTTGTTTTCCGCTCTAAAAAATTAAAACGAAACTCAGAGACTCACAGCAGATACTTAAACAGATTTGAGATTAACGCTGCTCTGACGCTGCTTCGACCAAAAAGTCGGACAGATGAGGCACACAATACATAAAGCCTTTGCAATGACTTGCAGAGATCAGGGGTCACAAAATCAGTTTTGATGATATCAAATCACTTCTAGTTTACTTAGTTCTTATTCAATCACATCGGATCACAATGCGCTTCGTATGACCAATTCGTTACTCGTCCTTCCCCCCCCCCCCTTTACTCAAGTCGTGAAAAATTTTGTAGCAGCAGCAACAGCTGTAGCTTTTCAAATTTGACTACTGTAGGATCCGTACAGTTATCAACCTATCTCCACCTTTTCCGTCGCTACAGTCATTTCGAAACATGCAAACAATTTTTATAGAGCTCTATTGAATCAATAATTGACCGTCATTCTTCACAATTACAACAGAGGTAAAAGGGAACATTGTCACAATATGAAAACAGGTTATGTAAATAGCCAATCATTTCCATGTCGACAAACGACTTTTTGATGGTCATTTTCTATGTACAAAGACAAGTCGAGTATAAATAGAAAATTTTTGCACAGTATTGCTCAATGTTCGTCTGTAGTTCACCTAAATGATTGATTTGTTGGAACAATAGTATTCTTAATTTTGGATTAGTATATCCGAATACGAAAAAGCGATTTTGTGATTTTAGGTAGAATTTTGAACTAATCTCCTTCTCACAACTTCGAAACTTCTAAGTGAGTACTTCACACCAATACAATTCTATTCGTCACAATTATAACAGGCATACGACTCATTTGCAGCTTCGCTTCGAAAGATCCCACTTCTTTATGAACTAGCATTATGCATCATCTGATGGTTCCATCGACACTTCTTCTCCTTCTCGCTTCATATATTTACGCACAGTTAAATGGTAAGCTTGTATTATAGCTCAAATTTATTAGATCCTTCCTCGGGAACATGTTTAGAAAATACCTATTGGTTCAACTGAATTGGCAGCTGGAAGGTAGGGCTTCGCAATCTAGTTAAGGCTAGAGAATGATCAGACAGTACGAGCGCGAAAGAAACGCCGACTGCGTCGCTGGCGCGAGCGGCCTCAATTAGGTCGCAAAGCCCGCCTTCCAGCCGCCAATCCAGTTAAATCAAAGGTTAGCTTTTAGCTGACACTTTAGGAAAGAATGGCAACGTTCTGAAATTGTTATAACAGAATAGCCTCTTACACAATAACATCCTAAAAACTTTGTTACACTGCTTTTTCTGATGTGCTGTAGCATCAGTTCTTAACTGACCCAAAAAAGTAAATAGTAAGCAGTAAATAGCAAGTGGGAAATGGTGCGCAAACGCAGCGTCCAGCAAATCCTCTAATTTCTCAGTCTTATCTGGGCTTGTTTTGGAATGTTTTTGATACATTATTATTTACATCACCGTTATTTCGTTGTGATAGTAAGGACTTTGTGCTCCAGAGCACGATAAGCAGCATATTGTATCCTAGTTTTTAAATTAGTGGATTTTGATTCTCGCCTCTGACAATGAGTGTACTGACAGTGACTTTTATAGAATGGCTGAGGGCTATCACATGGCTCAAGAAATTATATAATACAAAACATTCTATGATTCTCAAAATCATTCTAGACTTGACGAGCTAGGCACAGGGCTCGGCACAGGTGGCTTGTAACAAGATCGATATCGTTTTTGGGACAAAAAGCAAAGCTGTAGGAAATGCGCTGACTACGATTTTTGAGTTCAAAGGATTTAAACGTTCTTTACTGGCTGTAGGCTGTAGGCAACGAGTATACAGAACCACGAGCATTTATACAAAGTTTGACTTTATAACCTCTACATACATAGCAGTCTTTCCATATGTTTAGGTGAGTGTGTCAAGCAATGGTTTGTTGCGGCCGTGACTTGACATTGACTAAGACAATGATGACAAAATCTCAAACATTAGTCTTCTAGGAAATGCTAAGAATGCTATAGGAAAGTGAAAACATGTTACGATACTGCAAGTTGCAGAAAGGGGGTATCGTTTTTAAGGCCGAAAAGACACAAAAATTGTGTAGTTTTTTAGTCAACGTTTCGTTTTTGAGGGTCCTCTTTACGTTTAGGATTTAAGGTTAAAAGAGACTTCGTAATAATTCGCGAAAGTGTCAGGGAGAACTTCGTTTTTTGCATTTTCCAAAAGCCACGTCGTGCCAAGCCCTGGCTATGCAAAGACGCATAAGGAAGAAAACCATTCGGACGAAATTCTGCCCCAAACCAAGCATCAACTTTAGCCAAAAAACAAAAGAATGCATATTGCCTTGGCTCTTTGAACTCTTTATTGATAACTATTCAGAAACGGAAACGATTGACGCCGAAAATAGCACAGAAATCGTTACCACAGCGGAAATTGACACCGCGAATAGCACAGAAATCGTTACTACAATGGAAAGTGACGCGGGAAATGGGACAGAGACCGTCTCCACGGAGGAATCGAGCCAGGCAACTTCCAGCAATGGCACTTTAAAGCTTGATCAAATCGATGATGGGAAATGTGGTCAGCATGAAGTATGGAAAGAGTGTTCCGGATGTGAATCATCCTGTGAACAGATGAAAGTTGTAAGCATTTTGGCTATCTAATACTAAGAGCACATTTAGCGTAGCATTTGCTCCTATAGCCGCCAATGTTTTGAAAAATTATTAGGCTATCGTTGCTAGGCAATGAACCCGAAGCCCTGTAGAGATCATCTGGAAGCAGGCTGGACTTTGTTTTCGGGGAAAAAAAGCAAGCGGGATATCTTTTTGTGGGTCCGAAAAAACAGAAGTTTGCCTCAAAGCAGAGTTCGTAAAATGAAAATCAGAAGGGACTTCGTTCTCAAAAAACCTAAAAACGGACTCATGCCGGGCCTTGAATGAACCCTGTTAAGTCATATGTGATAGGAAGGTAAAAATTTTTCAGGAATTCTATTTTGTTTCTTTTCTAAGAGGGAGTTTTGGGAGTCTTTCCAGGCCCTTCCGGACTCTTTAGTAAGGCCTCGTTTTGCGATAACTGAGAACAATCGTAAAACCCGGTTATGATACCATTTCAACCATTCATAAAGTAGAAAATCACCGTATAGTTTTATAATTCATGTGATGCACTTTCAAACAATTGGCATACACTTCCAGGAAGAGAAGACACCTTTGCCGTTTGTCTATCCATCTTTTCCATTCCACCACTTTTCTTATGCTATATCCGTAAATTATCTCTACAACTCGAATGAACTTTATAGATCTGCGACGACAGCTGCGGCGAGCCGAAATGTCAGTGCGATGTTGGTTACTTCAGATATGCTCCAAGAAAATGTATTACTTACTGGGAATGCAAAAACGGAGTCATCGAACTGTGACTGCTCTTGTCGATATATTTGAAAGTGGTGCCAGTTCCTTTATTTTTATAACTACGGTTTCAAATATCGAATGTGTTTTTATTAAGTATTGTGTATCTTCACTCTCCATCGTAGCCTTAGGTGATGACCCTAAGCACGTATTTGCTAATAAACTTTCATCTAAGGTGATTAATAAAGAGCATGTCAAATGCAAAATCAAGCTTGGTAGCGATGACTTCAACTCGGACAATAAAAAGGTCTGGAACGCTTTTCCCAGGTGTTCCAACTATAATCAATAACGCATCGTTTTTGAATTTTTACGAACTAAGTTCGGGTAAGTCAAAATTGTAAATGAAAAACAAAAGGAGGAATAAGACACCACCCTGAGGCACTCCACGAAAAATGGCGTGAATTTCAGAGCAGTTACCACATACTCGAACTTGGAAAGTACATTGCTCCATTTCAGTCCTTTTGCACGTCAAACCCTGAACTCCACCATGCTGAGCTTGGATAACAGTTTGAAAAGTATGGACTCTATCGAATGCTTTGGAAAAGTCAATGAATACGGCGTGTGTCTGACGACGCTCATCAGCTTCTAAGGTATAGTCATTCATGGCAGTTAGCATAGCGGTCCCAGATCTACCTTTACAAGATCCGTGCTGACTAGAAGGGATGATAGAGCCTTTTCAAAATAGGAAATAATATGTTCTTTCGAAATTTTTTGGATGTTCGTGCAAAAATAGGTGCTTTGTTTTGTTTATAGGTTGATAAGTTTTTGATCATTATACGGCGGTTTTTTGGAAAAAGGAGTAACAAGGGAATGCTTCCACCTTTGAGGTACTTCCTCTCCGTGTAAGGTGATTGAATAAATATTTCTAAAGCAAAACCAAGCTCAGAAAGAACTTTTTTCTTAACAAAAACAGGAGTACAGTCTTCTTCAGCCCGGAGTAAGCGAAACATTCCAAGTGGAGCAACGCGTACGCACCGCCACTGGCTCGGCGAGGTAGATTAGAATGAAGAGACGCAGACTGCAAAGCGGAGCGAATCGTTGCGAAGCGGACTCTCGCCATCTCATTTCCGCCTAACCTGAGCTGAAACTTACTACACTCTATCAGAGATTACGGGGAAAGAGCTAGGATACTTTGCAAAAATACGAGTAATCTTTTCTTTAGGAAACCAAACTGGTTTGTCCATTTCCGGACACCGAGGAGAAGGGTTCAATTCTACAAATAAATTACGACTATAGACCTTTACAAACTTTTGAACTAGCAGGTTAGCCTTATCCTTGTTTGAGGATAAGGCCAGGCCAGAGTCATCAATTAATTGATAGTTGTGTTTTATCAATAAGGTGTACCCTCATGCAACGAAGGAAACCATTTACATTTTTTTTTGACATAAAGGTTTTTTTTCAAGATTAACATGATACTTATTCGAAACCTTGAGAACTTTCTTGTTGAATTTTTCAAAAACCCTCCATGCTTCAGTTCCTTCCACAATGAACAGCTAATGTCCAAAGCCGATCACGCTTGTTTATCCTATTGACTAGATAGGCTGGTAGTTCTATGTTGACTTTGATGGACCTCACGTAATGGGACAAACATTTCTACCGTATGCAAAACGGTGAGAAAAGGTTCCTACATATCATTGAAGAGCTTAGAAGCGTGAAGCAGCCTAGCCAATCAATACTTGACAGGTATTCCCGGACAACAAATAAGCTTCTTTGAAGTCCCTCACAAACCTCAGACAGGTGTTAGACATGCAGGTCAAGGGTTGGTTGTCCTTTATTTGGCCCGAGAAGTACTGAACAAAATTATGTGTGCTGATGTAATCTGAAAAACTTAACTAGAATTTACCTGAAACTCTTTAGAGGAGAAGGATCGATATGTGGAAAATGAAGTCTTCCAAAAAAATTGGGTCCTGTAAAACTCGAAAAATCGCTAAGCGCTATAGTGAGTGTGATGAAATTACTAGCACTGCAATCAGGTATAGATTGCCCAGAGATTGAGAAATCACATTCGAGGATTTTATATTGCAGTTATTGATTCAATATGACATTTAAGGAGAAGGTTTTCCGTACTAAAATGGTGACTTCGCCCCCTTTACGGCGGCTTCTATCGCATCTATATAAGTAGATGACACAATATCCAGAGGAAAAGCTAACTCATTTTTTGAATTTTTACAAGAAGACCTAGATTTGCAACGCGTTTTGACACTAAAAAGCAATTTCAAAATCGCGATTTTGACTGCTCCATTTTACAGGAAGTGTCAGCATCATTCCTCTCAAGCACAGCTTTGCACTAAGTAGCAACTTTTTCCCAAGAAAATCGTCAGCAGAATTTTCCCAACTTCTAAACATAAATAGAATGCAGCTAAACGATTATGGCAAATAACAGTAAATGCAGTGGTACTGTGTTTTTGCCCGGCTTCTTTTTACTTTTGTAAGAGTTAGACTCTGAATTACGATGTCTTGAACTTGGAAATTTGCAGCTGGACAAAACTTATGCAGCATTCTGATAAAGGACGGATGGATGCAAAGAATTCCTACAATTAAAATCGTATCGAGTAAAGATGGATGAAAATAGGACTCTCAGAATGTTTCAATAGTACCCACGGATAAAGGGATAGCTGTCTGATTCCACAATGTCCTGAGTCGTCTTTATGTAACGCACGAATCAATGTCAAAAGTCCTCATACTTCCTCGTTTTGTAAGTGAAGCACGAATGAATGTCGTGAAGGTTTCCGATGTCTATCAAGTAGGAACTATTTCGTACACTGTAGCTCACGAAAATGATTCGTAGCATCGCGGAGACGTACCACCCATCAGTACCTTACTCAATACGATTCGGTACATTGTGGGAACATTGAACATCCATCAGTCCTTCTACGGGAATGATTCGGAGCATTGTAGGAATGTTGAAAAATTATTCACTTTTTACGTAATGAGATTCGGGGCATTGTAGAATCAGACAATCCACCCATGCTTTACTCGCTACGATTCAAAGTATCGTAGAACAAGATTTTCGACCACGATTTGATTTTGAGCAATGCATCTGCATTGCATGATCCTGCACCTGGGCTACAGATGCATTCTTAAGCTTGAGATATGCAGAATTACTCTTCATTAAACTCCAAAAAAGAGTTCACGGGACAAATTTGCTTGAATGCCAAATGACCGCACAAATTGCCCAAATCATCAGGTTGCCGAGAAGTAGTCGTCTGATCCGTACTCTTACGAGTTTTTACCATCTGGACGCAATGGCGGTTTGCAAATGTGACAGAAAAATGTGATATCACTGGGCATGCACTTCAAAATCTACCGTCTCTCTAACTTTCAGAGCATTTTTCAGCTCGAAAATTGTTCTCTGTGGATTCAAGAGCTCTCAAACTTGATAAAAACCCTGTTTTTACAAAGACGAGCATGGTCCGAAACTCGCAGAGCTTCAGTGGAGACATGGAGGACCTACTGCCAATGAAAATTTTATGCATTATCATAACTGACCCTTGCTAGATCAGACATCTCAGCATTTTTACAACTTCCCCACAACCCTTCGGTATGCATGAAATTGCAAAATTAATTGACATGGTGAGCAGCATGATTTTCTCGTAATGTCGGAATTTGGATTCGTTCTATAGGTAACAGAACAAAAGATTATTCCAGAATGGCTGCAAACTTTTGGCCAACACTGTATACGTGAGATATATGATTTCATAGATGTCAATGTTAATACACTGAGTATTTTAAGTCGAAAACTAGCGGCTGTTTGAATTTAAGGCATAAAAACAGCCGTTGTGTCACTTACATTGAACGTTCTCCTGTACCTTTGCAAGGCAAACGAACGTTGTAAATGAATTATCCTAAGTTTACAATCAATTTTTGTGTTCGTAACTTTCTCTGTGGACGTGCACATGTGCATCCCAGTATGACTGCAAAAGTCCTTAAGTACTCGCTCGCACTATATTTGCAAAAGATGGGTGCATTTTGTTTGCCAACTGGTCTTGGCGTCAGAAGTACTCACATTCCATAACTGCAACTGATGACTGGGGATGAAAAATGAACTATGTCGTTTTGCATTAATGCAGAAAACATTTTACTTGCCATTATTGATGTTTGTGAATGAAGGGTTACATGACTTTAATTTTTTTAAGAAGTAGAATGCTTAACATTGCAGCACTGATGATCGTCATCGATCGACATCGATTTTATCAATTTTATCGATTTTTTTGATTATTTTTTATCGATTTTTGACCTGCGGGGCTAGATACTGGAACAGGGGGGGGGGGGGGGGAAGGTAATCAGCATGCTGATTACGAATACATAATTAGTCTCCAAAACTATTCGTTACTTTTATTTTTATCAATTTTTTTTGCAAAGTTTGAGCTACGGGGCTGGGGGTAAGTGAGGAAGGTAAGTGAGCATGCTGATTACTGACACACCGGGAATAGGGAATGTAGAAGAATGCATGTAGAAGTGTACACAGGAAAAGGTTGTACAGGGATAGAAATGGAACCTTTATCGTTTTCGTTTGGAGCTTGAAAAGTGAATTGAATGGCTATGCGCTCAGACGTGAAAATAAGACGAAATAAAGGACGAGAATATTAGTCATGAAAACAGAATTGAGCCAAAAATACTTTCGCTTTTGCTCAACTCAATGTAAAACAAGATTTTGTTTTCTGGACTAATCTTCTCCTTGATTATGCTTATCCGAGTTCATGGCGTTTGAGCTCATGGTTACCTATGAGTTTGACTAAACTTCAAAGAAATTGTCGAACGCCGGAACGTCGACGTTCAGCTAGTAAAGACTCGCTACCAGAATTGATTTTAGCAGAAACTTACATGTGCAAAAGCTGAGCATTGATTTAGTAACGTTGAAATCTTTTTTTTTGATTTCTGAGATAAATCATAAAAAGCCAGTATACGAATAATGTTGAATATGCGGGAGTACTTAAAATATGTGCACATTGTTTGAACGTTAGAGTAAATCTCTTAGTAACTTTCATGTCTTTCTCCGAGCTTGATGTATCACTTTATAGAGCGAGGTTTAAATTTACAGCATGGTGCGGATAATCAATCACTCCTGATTATGGTAGGACTACGGGAGAAAGTTCGAGAAAGATTTTAGGAATTTGAGAGCGATTTTTGCCTCGGGAGGAAAACCAAACAAGCAAGAAACTCTCTTACTGGATTAAACAAAGTCGATTCT